GTCACCCTGCGGATGCCCGGAGTTACGGGCTGGCGACGGCGATGCTGCAGGATCTTGGGCAGAGCGAGGTGCGCCTGCTGACGAATAATCCTGATAAGATTAGGGCGGTGGAGGGCCCCAATCGCGAGGTGAGGGTTACGGAGCGCGTTGCGATGGTGCCGCTGTCGTGGAAGGGACGAGGCGGGTTCCGGAGCAATGAGGTTGAGGGGTATTTGAAGACAAAGGTACGTTCAATTGTGTTTAGTTGTCTTTTAATTGCTGGAACTAACAGAACCTACAGATTGAAAAGATGGGACATATGCTTGACATGGGCGGTATGCCCCATTGAGGAGCGATCTACTTGCGGTATTGGGATCGCATATACCTCTGATGTCTGATGGCTGGTGTTGAACGAAAGGAGGTCACAAACATGGTTGAAAATCATCAAGCATATGGTAGAAAACGGCGTACGGGTTGTTTTGATACGAATACCTGGGACATTGGCGCACTTGGCATACTTGTCCGCTGGGATCCCCAACGACTGGAAATGTTCATAGCATCGTTGGATAACTGGACTCATGGCAATTTACGGAAAAAGATCATTGAGGCGGCGGCTAGTTTTATCTGGCATTGAGGTGTGCATCTACCAGATACACTTACCTACCTAGTACTTAAGCTTGAGTTGTATCTATCTACCCAAGGTACATACTTTGGTGTAAGTTACCTAGTGCTCGAACAGAAATGTCGAAATGATGGCTTGCTGCAATCTTGATCCCAGGAAGGCTTGGGAGTGCAGTGGTCAAAATTATCGCAGTATGTTTGAGCGCAATTCCGGGATTGTCACTGAGATGCAGATGAAGATAAAGCGCGGGCCGGCTCCCCTCCAAAAGTCGCTCCGGGACCCCTATATAATGATGTACCGGTACGGCGGTGGGCGCACTGACCCGCCGACAGGAAGCTCCAACCAACGTCACGCCCAACTCGCCATACGCAAACTCTCACTTATTCGCATCCCAGCTTCAACCCAGATGCTCCCCAGAGCTTCCACCACCAGCCCACCATGTCGCGCAGAGTAGCGAAAGGAGACTACATTGAGACCGTACGCCCTCCATCCCCTCAAAATCACCCCCTTCAACACAATCCACGCACCGAGTTTACCGACTAACTCCCGAGTAAAACAACAGGACACAGGCAACAAGGTCGCCCGCAAAGCGACCCTCGTCGGCACCCAGAATATCATGCTAGGCGGCAAGACGGTAATCCAACCAGAGGTCATGATCCGCGGTGACCTCGCCCGCTCAGCACAGCCCTCTGCCGGCGGCGCCCCGGCCAACAGCACGGCCGTCGCGATCGGGAGATACTGCTTCCTCTCCAGGGGCGCGCTCCTCCGGCCTCCAGGACGGATGTACAAAGGGTACGTTCTCCCCAAACCCACCACCGCAATAGCCACAAACACCATCGGACCCCATGCTGACTTTCCTACGTTCCTAGAGCCTTCACATACATGCCCCTCCGCATGGGCGACCACGTCTTCGTCGGCGCAAACGTCGTCATCCAGGCCGCCTCGATCGGGAACCACATCCACATTGGCCGCGACAGCGTCATTGGCGAGTTCGCCATCGTCAAGGACTACGTACGCATACTCGAAGGCACCGTCGTGCCGCCCAACATGGTGATCCCGAGCTTCAGCGTCGTCGCGGGCCAGCCGGCGCGCGTGGTGGGCGAGGTACCCGAGGGCGGGCACGAGGAGTTTGAGTTGAGGGAGCTGTATAAGACTGTGGGGAACAATCCGCAGCCATTGACTGCGTGAGGTCGGGTTGGTGTTTTAGTGCCTCTGGGGGCGGGAGGGGGAAGAGATGCGTGTGATATTAGAAGTTGGTTGACAGCTTGGCATTTGCTTGCGCGATAGAGACGGAGTTTGGCGTAGGTCGAGCTTTGAGCTCAAATGATACCCTTTCTTTTTCGCAGTGAGGACTTTATTCCTATCTCGTTCCGACTTCCACGTGTGGCAACATTCCTTGACTTCGCGCGTTAGGGAACTTTTTAATGGTTGGTCGATGCTCCGTCGGAGCTCTTCATCATAGAGGCTTCTGGCAAGGCATGTTCGGTTCAAAGTTGCTGCAGCTATGAGCTATCACATACATAGAAACAACATCAAAGAAAATATCTGACAGAGGAAGATACACTTCAGCACGGCGGGACCCCTTAAGCCCCATGCAACAACCCATCCCGAACGCCGCTGCTCACCCAACTTTCAAGACTTCAAGGCTCACCCGGCCATATCGAATCAGCCAACTCCCTCACAAGCTTCAACTTGTTCACCATATCCTGATGCGAAACCGAATTTCCCAAATGATGACTCGCAAACCCACACTGCGGACTAACCCCAATCCTCTTCAACGCCTCCTCGCGCGTCTGCCCCGCCCCCTGCGCCACATAATCCGCCGCTTGGAATACCCTCTCCCTCAGCTTCCCAACATCCTCGAGCTCAGGGAACTTTGACGTGATGACGCCCAGCACGACGTTCTTGTGCGCCGGTAGCTCCTTCAGCGGTCCGAACCCGCCCGCGCGGTCGGTGTCGTACTCGAGGAAGTAGGTGTCGGCGTTGATCTCGTTGAAGAGGCGCGAGGCGATGCGGTCGTAGCCGCCTTCGGAGAAGTGGCGCGAGTAGGCAAAGTTGCCGCGGCAGAGGTGGATGCCGAGGTGCATGTCTGCGGGGCGGGAGGTGATGCAGTCGTTGTAGAGTTTGATGTAGGATTGGAGGAGGGCGTCTGAGTCTTCGCCTGCTTCTTTGAAGCCTTGGAGCATCTTTTCTGAACAGAAGTCTGGGAAAACACGGTTTCTGTCAGCGAAGGATGTGGAATAGGCAACGGGGCGTCACTTACACGCCAGGTTGGGATCGTCAATCGTCACATTGCGGACACCGTGCTCATAAAGAACCTCAAGCTCGGTGCGGTACGCTTTGGCGATATCGGCAAAGTACTCTTCGTCGTTGGCGTAGACGTCCTTGGGGTAGGCGTGGCCCTTTTGGTAGCGGAGATGATACCACTCGGGCGCGGGCAAGGTCAACTTGGCCTCCTTGACGCTTTCAGGAGGGATGTTGCTCTTGAGGAACTCCCACTCTCTCAGGTAGGTGCTTCCCTTGTGCTTGATCTTGCCGGTGCAGACAATGGACTCGCCGGGCTTGTGATCGCTCTCAACTGGGTGTCACATAGCGTCAGTCTCCCTAATCTCGAGGGTATCGAGTATCCCGTGGGCCAAAACTTACTAAACGCCGCAATGTCTGGCACGTACATGCGAAATATATCCCAGCTCGGCGTGTCGACCTCCTCGAACCCCTCCAGTCCGGGGAAGAAGTTGCCCCAGAACTGGTGGCGGCGGTACTCGCCGTCGTTGATGGCGTGGAAGCCGAGGTCCAGCTGCGTCCTGACGATCTCGCGCACGCCCTCCTCTTCGAGGCGGTTGAGTTCCTGGTCGTCTGCAATCTCTACGGCCTTTTTCCCGTCCAAGGCGACGCGCTTGTCAGTGAGGGCCTTGGGCCGCAGGAGCGAGCCCATGTGTTCGGCGCGGAAGGGCGGTTTCTGGTGGTTCTTGGACGTCATGGTTTCTATTTTGCGTAGACAAACAGAAAGTTATTGGTATTGCAGTGGAGTAGAGCACGAGAAGAACCCTCTGGCCACGGCGTATATATAGACTTTGGTACTCGCGACGAAGCGTGGGGTTGCGAAAGGGGATAGGCCTTCGGCATTGCGAGATCCAATGGCCTAGCTAGGTAACTTTCCTAGGTTGGCCAGCCACTCAAACCAGGTCTCGCGAGGGCGTCCATTCTGGTGTAAGGCTACCCGAAGCAAACAGACTTGCGCTTTCTTGGACCTGGACCCCCGTCAGGACGATGTCATCCGGTGCCACCATCACCACTTCCCCCAAGCTGCCCATCCACCAAGATTCCCCGCTTTCCCCGCCCTTTGTCATAGCTTAGTCGAGGGGGTCTGATCATAAGTTGCTGGACGGCAGATGAGTAGAGCGGCATCGGAATCGGCTATCAGTCATTGGCCGCTTAAGTAAATGCGAGCGTTTTGGAATTGGTGCCTGGTTTCTGCTAGGTTGAAGCCATTCTCGAGGTTGATTTGCTTCTTCTCAGCGCAGCCAAGGCAAGGTACCTATGCGCCGTAAGAGCGCAGCGGTGGAGACGCTGAATGATTGTCGTTCGAGGAAAAGAAACTTTTATATGGCTTGCATTCATTTCAAGATCATAAGTCTTCCGACATAAAATAAAGTAATGTCTAGTATGTAAGTGCTGACTGGACTCTTGTGTAGCTCAAGTGCATCGCCGATTCGTCGGCTGCCGTGCTTCTAGCTATTCGCGGTGTTATCGAGATTGGTACTGGCAGTTTCCCAATCACTGGCCCCAAGACATGATCCGCTTATGGTCAGTTCACGAATTGATAAAAACCCATGTCTGTCACATGCACTTAACGCCCTTCGAGAATCTCAGACAACAAAACTAGAGGTACCAAGAGATGTCAGGGAGGGAGGTGTGAAGATCCGGAGCTTCGAACTCGGAGCTTTTATCGTTATCTTATCGCAGGAGCTCTGGTGGAGCACTGTGGCGAAGGCCGCCCGTTCCCGTGGCGGGGCAAACGGACCAGGACCCCGCGGTGACATGTCGCCCCCATCCAGGACAGGTAACCTCGGAGCTGCATCTCATTGTATGGCAAGATTTCCATAATAGCATCCATCATTAATCCTCTTCTGCTCCAGTCTCTTCAGCCATAGTGTTGGATTGAATCCGGGACTGAGATCCTTCCATCAGCAAACTATCAGCCTATCTCATCCGGGGCGGCTTCATCGCTTCGTCTGAACTTGAAACTTGCCTCGGCCGGGACTATTCCGTGAAACATCGCCCTCTAGGCCATATTCTGTATTTCGTTCGACGACACAGTCACTTCGCATCAATTCATCGAGACGACTTCCGCATCTGCGATAAAATTCTGACAGCCTCTGCTGTAATACAAGCAACGATGGCCACCTCCGTCAATGATCTCCCAAACGAGATCCTAAGCCAAATATTCTCCCACCTGGACCGACCTGCGCCATCAGACTCGAAACTCCATGATCAACCAAGCTCTTTCATGCTGCAGAACCTCTTTTTTGACCGCGATCTCAAGACTACTTCTCTCGTTTGCAAGCGATGGCGAGGTGCCGTGCTCCCTCTGCTGTTCCGCCATGTGGTCTGGACATTCGACCGATTCGAGTTACCGCTCATGGAAGAGACGGGAAACCCTGCGTCCGCGATCGAGTTTTTGTCATTCCTCCGGGCGAACAATTTGACCAACTATGTCGAAACACTTTCAATGTTTGTCGAAGATGCCATGGGCGGCGTATCGGACGGCACCAGCAGTGCCACTCTTATGGAGACAGGCTTTGCGAACAAGGCCTCGTACAGCGAAGACTACAACTGGCTCTGGACGACAATCTTTGAACATATTGATCCCACCCGGCTTACAATGATTGCGTCGCCACGGGTGTTGGCCCAGATGCTATCGCGTATGCTCTTCCTTGGGGATGCGTGGAACTTTTCCATGCCTCGGCATGTTCTTTCGCTATCACGCAAAGAAAAAAGGTCAAAAGAGACGCAACTCGAGGCACCGGTGACAGCATCATCAACAAGTCAGGCATCTAGTTCTGAACTCACACATCAGAAGCGTGTTCCATGTGGCCTCTTCACCATCCGCCCATGGCAAGCTCTCTTACTGAACGAAGGATCCTCGACGCGAGTCTACAAGACATACGAATTCTACCTCAAACGCCCACCTTCCATCCTCGGCGCTCTTCTGGGCGCAGAAGAGTTCCCCAATGACGAATCCATGATCCCCTCCTCGATCCGCGACCTCTCCTACGTCGGCATCTTCCCCCTATCAAGCCACTTCAACACCCTTGTCCAAAACGTCCCGCGTCTCGACCGCCTCTTCGTCCAGCTCGTCCCCCGAAACGACATCCTCTCCGACCACGAAGAAATGCGCAACGTCGACCTCGCCGATCTCTGGATGGAGCGCAACACGGCCTACTCGATGCTGTTCCGCGAGCTCTTCAACCCGAGCCCGGACAGCCCCTGGCTCGAGCTGAGCGTCTTTGAGAGCGGCGACGCGGCGGACAAGGAGGCGTGGGATATGGCGGTGCAGTTTGTGCAGTTTAGCGGCGTGCAGGGGTGGCGGGTCGCAGGCGAGGGCGTCTTTGCGAGGGAAGGGGACGAGGACGACGTCGGTGCGATCCTCGGCATGTCTCAGTCAGTGGCGCCAGCGGGATCGTCAAGATCACAAACATTGTCTGGGTGATGTTTACTAATGCGGCAGGTGCGAGAAAAGACTCCCGGGTAGACTCAGACGGATGGCGTTCAACGGAGTTGCTTCGTTGCCAGTGTCTAGCGTTACGCTTTACATGAGAGACGCAAACGCGCCGTAGAGGGGCGTTTGTGGGGCATATGTAGGAAGATCAGGACATTCCTTGGGCCAGCCGTATCAAGCAGTTTATGACGATTCTGCCACGACCTAAGGCTATGGCAGGCTAGACACACGAGGTATGATGGTGGGAACTTCACATGCTAGGATGTGGGAAGATATCGTAGGGACATGAACCATGGAGCAATCACCAATTGCAAATTCGAAATTACCACCGACATTTCAAAAGTCCCAGGCTTACATTGGCCCATCGAAAGACCATGCTCCCAGCGTTGTCCTCTTTTGTGTCTTCTAGAGAGGATGTACAATGCAAGACCCTCAATCACCTTCTCAGCAAATATCACGCCGACCCCTGGCTATGTAGTTTAGATCCGATCCAAGGCCTCGTATCACCACCCAACAACGCCGAAGCAAGTGTTTGATGTCTCGGTCTATCGCAACAAAATCGATAGCCAATGAGACTCATCCTCGAGTATCAAGCAAGCGGTGCGGTCGGTGGAGAACATTGGACCATCTCCATCATCAAACGTTTCTCCACAAGCTACCATACGGCATACACGTGGGGAGTTTCAGACGTAAAGTCAAAATCCGAGCAGCGAGCTTCCATCTTTGAACTGAGGTTGAGTTCCGAGGTGGGGCCAAGGTGAGGCTTAAACCAACAACTGACAGCTCGCACCTTGGTAAGCAGGTAAGGAAAGGTAAGCTCTCGGTGAGCTCGGTAAGCTCGGTGTACTCCACATCATGTGATTTTGCCACTCGGACGGCCCAAGCTCGTCTGACGAAAAGCGGGCGCAAAGGCATCTCTCAGCCAATCATTAGCCGCAATACCTGCAGACAAAGCCAATTGGCGCCTCCTCTCAGTGGCTGGAAGGACCTGGTGTGGACGGTACGGCATAGTCGGGGAAGGAGGCACTGGACCCAGACCAAAAAGAAAGTCGCACCGGACAGGAAGCTTCTTCCCCAAAATCATCGACCTATCGAACGATATACGCACGAGCACTACATCATCACCTTACATCCGCCCTCTCCTCTCCCCTCCCCTCCTCATCTCCTCCTCTTCGTCCTCCTCGTCAACATCTAACCCCCTCTTTAGCTGCGGCCACCTCCCTTTCTTCATTTCTCGCATTCCTTCGCCTTTCATACCATTTACGACTGCGGCGAAGACTGGGCGCAGATCAAATCCCGACCCTGACAAAAACCGACGACTTGGTGGCCGAGCTTCCGGACGAACCTTCAAATTCTTCTTTTCCTCATCCCTCGAATCAACAATCAATACGTGCATTGGATTGCCATCTCGAGGCTCTCAATGTCAACGCCTCTTGCATTCCGACGAACGTGAGCGCCTCCGACAACAAATACTCGACCCACGACGATTGAATTTCTTCAAGAACACATCGACCCGAATACGCTTCTCGTCAACATGGTCCTCTCTCACACTACGAACCACACCTACTCCCACCCCTTCCCGACCGTGACACTCGCCTACTTCCTCCGCTACTCTTCGCCCAAACTCAACCCGTTCTCCACCCATGTCCTCAGCACCGACACCATCGATAGTCGCCTTGACCCGGTGACGGGCCGGCTGCACACCACCCGCATCCACCTCAAGAAGTCTCGCATGCCTGCGCCTGTCTTCAAGCTTCTCCCTACATCCATCACCGGCGGCGGCTCCAGCGAGAAAGTGAGCTATGTTCTTGAGAACTCAGTCATTGACATGCGCGAGGGTTGGATGCGTACCGAGAGCAAGAATCTCAGCTTCATGAATGTGCTCTCCGTTGTGGAGAAGCAGGACTTCCGCCTTCCCACCGATGCAGCTGACGCGAACACCGACGTCACAACCACATATGTCTACAAGTCGCGTCTCGGCGAAAGGCTTCGCGGCGGCAAGAAGGACCAAATGCAATCTGCCGTCGAGCAGCCGGAGCAAAAGGAGGGTCGCTGGATGCCGGGCTGGATGAGCGGACTCGGCGCGCGCGGCGTTCAACGCAGTATTGAGAGCATCGCTTCGAGCAAGACACAGGATCAGATGGGCAAGAGCCGTGAGGGCATGCGCGTCGTCCTGGAGAGACTTAGGAAGAATGGCGTCGTGGGCGTGCTGGAGATGATGAGACGGGAACGCCAGTTGGCCTGATGGCCGTGCCCGGCTCGACGAATGCGCATCTCGGAACGTGACCTGGGCTGGAAGGGAGAGAACACCCATGTATACCATTCACCAAGGGTCATTGACGACATTGCCCGGTCCGCGGGTCACGTTCGGAGGTTGCTGTACCCCTATCACACCACTTGTTGTACATTATTCTATGACCATAGCGCGGCGTCTTTATGGCTTTTTTTTATGGCGGTTTTTTATGGCGGTTTTTTATGGCGGTCGGGAGGACACGGCAAATATGGAATGGACTGCGACGGATACGGAAAATTCTTGGACTCCTGTCATGCCGTCCCTGTATGACATCCCCTCTCTTGGATTTGGCACTTACGTAGTCAAAAATAACATGTAAAAACTTTGAAATATTTATAAGCTGGGCCAACCCGATCTGTGCAACTTTTTCTCAGCTTGACGGCCAGCATAAAAAGAATCTGCTCTGATGGCACGTAAGCCACCAGACTATTGAAACATTTTCGTTTGTGAATGGCTTATTCTATCAGTGCCAGCGGACACAGCCGTGAACAAGGTATTTAAGCTTGCGGCCCCGGATCTTGGCGATCTGCAAGACATGAGGTTGGGATGGTCGAATAGGAATGAGGTCAACAGCGACCAATGCAAATTTTCTTTTCTTTTAGCCTTTCCCATGACCCGAAATAGAAGCGTACAAAGAATTGGGTATTGTAATGTCGGTTGGTAGTGATTGGATCAGGTGCGGGTTGTTGAGTATCAGGGGAGACGGCAGACCATCTTGGGCAGTCAAAGTGCAACTGCTTTCCAAAAAGCACCGTCCGTTGTAGTCGATGACCGAGCGATATGATTCTAGCTTTCGTTAGCAGAGTTGTATGTTGGCTCACGGTCCTACATAATGCCATGGATAGCTTGTTTTTTCTGAGACCATTTGTCTGCGTATTCTGTTTTGTATTCACTTTGATGGGTATCACCGTTTATTCAGGCTCAGCAAGTCAATCATCTGACCAACATCGACCTTGCCTTGATCATGTCTTCTTTACTCTACAAGTTTACAGTATAGTACACTTCTATACAAAAAGTCGTGTCCGCGTTCACTTTTGCGCCTTCTTCGCTTCAGCGTTGGCAGCCTCCTCGTCAGCCATCATGGCCTCGATATCCCCAGACACAAGCCAGTCCCTGACCTCGTCCACAATCTTATCCAGCGACTCGCCCCCCGCAATCACATCGGGCAGATTATGCACATCGATCCCCGCCCGGTGGTCCGTCACGCGGTCCTGGTTATAGTTGTACGTCCGGATCTTGTCCCCGCGCGTAATCTTGTGCTTGGACAGCACAGAGTTCCTCAATTGGGCGGCGGCCTCCTCGCGCGCCTCACGCCGCTGCAGAGCCACCCGCGACCGGATCAGCTTCCACGCGTCGTCCCGGTTCCGCGACTGCGACCGCGAGTCCTGCATGCTGACGACGGTGCCCGTGGGGATATGCGTCATGCGGATCGCGGACTCGGTCTTGTTGACGTGTTGCCCGCCCGCGCCGCGCGCCCGCATCGTCTCGATCTTGACCTCGGACGGGTCGATGAAGAAGTCGCTCTCCGGGTTGTTGATGTCTTCCATGTCGCCGCCGTTGTCGCCCTGAAACGAAGGGAGGACCCAGACCGCCACGGCGCTCGTGTGCACGCGGCCCTTGCTTTCCGTCGCCGGGATCCGCTGGACGCGGTGCATGCCCGCCTCCCCGCGGAAGAGGTCGTACGCGCCCGGGTCCTGGACCTCGATGACGGCTTCCTGGAGGGGGCTCTCGCCCGCCGCAGAGGAGGAGTCGCCCGCCGCGTCAGCCATGTCGTACTTTATAACGTTTGCACGCAAGCCCTTTCTTGCACAGTAGCCCTTGTACATCTTGAACAGCGTGTCGGCGAAGAAGCGGCCCTCAAGACCGCCGGGACCGGGACGGAGCTCTAGGAGGCAGGGCATGTGCGCGTAGGGATCCTTGGGCGTGAGCGAGGCGGATAGCTTGCGCGAAAGGGAGCTGAGCTGGCCGTTTGTGGCTTGGAGTTCCTCGGCGGCCATTTCGCGGAGCTCTTTATCCTTGGAAAAGAGAAGGCCGTCGAGCTCGGCGATGGAGGACTGTGCATTTTCCCATTCTCGGAGGGCGGTTACGACGCTCGAGAGCTCGCCTACGCGGCGGGCCGTTTTGGAGTCGTAGTCTGCTTCGAGGGCCGCGGCGAGGGCGTCATGTTCTTTTGCGATGTTGCGGGCTCGTTGGAGGAGGGCTGGTGGGAGGGTTGCTGTTGCGTCTGGGGTTTGACGACGTATTAGCTAGGGGATCGTAGAGGTTCAGAGTCGACGTGGATTGAGAGCTTACCGGAGCTAGCATGGCGGATGAATTGGGTCGCTCTGGGCTTCAGAAGCCCTCCCAGGCAGCGACGACACACCCATGGTGCTGCGAGCATACTCGGACAGCGAGGTGGACTGGTGAGAGAGAAATTGGGGGGGATTGGGTGACTTTTTGGAGGTGGTCGAAAAAAGTTTGGGACGTCCCAGAGCTTCGGTACAAAGTTCCGCGCCAGTGACATCAGTTCACTTGCAGTCCAAAAAAAATAGTGCATTATGTAATACTCTGCATTTCATCTCATCAAACAACTCAACATGAATGTTTCTTCCCACCCAAGTTTTTGTCGGCTTTTCCCCTGTTATTCATCTTGATTCTTATTGAATCCCATCTCTACTGAGATTTTATCTTAGCTTTTATCATAGACTTCAGTCTCACCTCACACAGTTCACCGCCAGATAACCACTGCATACGCTCGTTTCTTAATATCATTAACTCGTATTATTCATACCGTCCTTTGACGTTTAGCACTTTGGCTTATATCGTCCAAAGATGCAAGCCACTCACGCACACGGCCCTTATCCTCTCCGCCCGAGGGCATAACATATTGATCCAAAGGTTTCTGAACCGTACGGGAGCCTGTCAAGACCCCTTCTCTCTCCAGGTATGCTCGCTTGGCCGCCAGCGGATAGACTAGGTACATCTCGGCCATGCCTGGCTCCATCAAACTTCGGCAAGCGATCTCCAGCCCATCAGGCACAAGTCTATTCTCAAAATTGAACCGTACGTCGGCTACAGCCTTCTTCATGATGAAGTCTCGAGGAGGGATCAAGAGCCCTTGGCTTTTCAGGTATGCCCGTTTCTTCGGCAGCGAGAATCTCATGTACACTTCGTCCATTCTCGTCTCGCTGAATTCCGTTGCAATGGTCTTCAGTCCAAAGGGTACCAGTTCGGGCCCAAAATTGACCCTCACGTCGGTCATGGCCAGCTGAATAGGGTCGCGCATTTCCTTTTCTATGCTCTTCATTATGCCCGTGCACTGATCGAGGATGCGGGTGACCCGGTCACATGTCACCTCCATCAACTCTTGCCGCTGCTTCGACTTGGTCCGCCGCGGTGTAAGCCGGACCGGATGGATTGCGACGGCGTCCAGCGCCGGGCCCATTGAGGCTATTGTCTTCGCCCTCTTTGTCGTGTGTTCACCGTCGGCGGCAGCAGAAGCAGCTGCCATGGCCTGTGTTCTCTTCACACCAGCGATGGACTTCTGCAATTCGGCTTGGCTGCGGTGGAACTTTTGGACGCCTCGCTCAATCGCCATACGTCGAGATGCGGCGGGCGATGGTAGTGCTGGCCAGTCGCTCAGAAGTGGTACGCGACGGTTGCCGTCCTTGTCGTATTTGGTGTCGCTGTCTTCTTCTTGCGCATCGTCGGAGGACGAATCCTCCTCAGTGAAGTACTCGTCGGACGATGCATCCATCATCTGCCCCTTGAGTATGCCAGTCACCTTGATTGCCGCCGCGGCAGCTGCGCCTGCAATCGCCGTATAAATGACTGGTGTTTCTTCGCCTGAGTCTGTATCTGGATACATTGCTGTGGTATCTTAGCAATCTATTCGCTTTATTCAAAGTAGGCAGATCGTGGCTAGTTTAAGTGCGAACTTAGCTTCCCCTGACAGAACTCTGCGTGAGTGAGGACGAGTCGCGTGGACCTCGCAAAACGTTCACCGCGTCATGGAGTTGCCCAATCATGAATACTGAATCGTATTATGTAAACGTCATCCAATCTATTGATCTGCTCGATGGTTCCCGTTCCGCAAGATTGAGTTTACAGAGTTCACATATATCCTTGCGACCGCACCACTATCTCAACGGCTTTTGATGGAGGCTGAATGAGTTTCAACTCGGCATTCCCCGAGTTCGTCGGGTTTCTTCAACACCAACAGTTCATGCTCATGACTCTGTGTTCATCACGCGCCATTAATGCTTTTCTCTCCCTCTTCCCAAAAGGGTTCTCGTATATCTGTATGTCCAAGCCGTGCTTATCCCTTCACTTTGCCTTGCCAACGTCCATGATCGAGGTTTCCCCAGAACTTCTAGTCCCAGGTATGCAACCTCACGAAAGACCATAAAGCCCCTGCTTCGTGCCCAAGTCATTTCGGCACGAGCGGCATTATAGCGAAGGATCAAGCCCATGCAGCTTCAGTGCGGACTCAGGTTCATGACCGGATGGTATTACATATCCGTGCTAAGAATTTGTATGCCCACGCAACTCGGCTGAGCCACATCCTATCTCCGAGTCAAGCAAGCTTAGGACATAGTCGTAACCTACCGACAACCTTCCGGATATCCGCCTCGTATGGCTTGAAAGGTCTTTTCGTTTACCAAAACATTTTGTTTACTAAATCCAGTTTCGTTTCTGATTCCCGAACTCCGTCGTCGTTTGGACAAGCTAAGCTGCAAATACTCTGCCTGTCCTATCAATGTATTCCTAAGCCTCAGCATCAACTACCCTAATTCCCGAAGACCTTTTTCTACTCGTTTCCCGAACGTGGCTGGCGGAACGTCAAGCTAGCTTGAATGGCGGGCCTTTGCTCACTTAGACACCGGTCACGGCATGCATGATCCGACCTTTGTGGGGATGTTTGTTTCCTCAAATCATAGTTGTCGACTCATTAGCCGACTGATGTCGTCTAAAGTCTCACTTCTGTCTTGAACACCTGACTCCGCTTAAGACATATCATATCCCAGTTTAGTATGAGCGTAAGCCTCCTCCATCGGGGCCAAGGGTGTTACAGTTTTGAGGACGATGAGACCAACATCTCCTCCTTGAAATTGTGACTATCATCCGGAATCATGGTTATAATGGTAGGTCTGTCTTTGTTTCTGGAAAGAATCTCAAGACAACATTATTATTTCTGAAGCTTGTGTTACTCATCAAACCCGATTGTTTGAACTATCATTGAATAAGCAGGGTCCCCGCAACATGGTCGATAATGAGTTCAGGAGATTGACCACATTGAGAGAATATTTGATTAACCAGTCTTCAATTCAGGGGTGTCGCATGGTCAGGAACTTCGCGCTCGCCTTTGCGGAGGTTTTTTGAAGCCCGGATCGGCTCGAAGTCGGGCATTTTAAGCGGCTGAATCCTTCCCACAGACTAAGTTATAGCGTTGAGAATTAAACAGGTCTGCGAACCACTCATGTTCTTGAATAGCACCAGCACTCCCGTATATGCGGAACTCCCTGTGAGGATTATTTGGGCCAAGCTCTTCTCAGTAAGCGTCAGGCAGAAGCGACGCTAAAAGTGGCTTGACCAGAGTCAGGTGGATATTGTGCTGTTCGTATTCAATTCAGGGCTGAAAGTTCACCCTCCTATGACGCAGCCCTAGCGAGTGAAGATCATCCCTTCAACTGGGGATTTAAGAACTCAGCTAAGTCGCCCCCAAGTAAGTCCCAGAAGCAGTCTATAAGCCTCATTCAGCCCTACAATTCCGCATTCGTTCCTCACAAGCTTCAACGGTTTCTAGTTCCGAAGCTGTACTTTCGCTAAACATCACAATGAAGTGCTCTACCATCATCGCCGCCTCCTCCTTGGCCCTCGTGTCAGCAGGAAACTGCAGCCTCCCCCAAATCAACCTGGGTCACTTCTCCTTCCCTCATACCAATATGTTCGTCGCCTGGTCGCCCTACACACCGACCACGATCCAAGAGCTCGACGACGTTTGCGTCAAGGCGGGCGCCATCAAGGGTACTGCTACGTGGACCGCCGTCCGCACCGCGAGCACTTACACGTCGGGACCCATCTGCGGAAACCCCTTCAACATCACGAGCGATGAGACGGGCGTCACGTACCGCAACCTCGAATTAGCTTGCAGCGACGACAACAGCGAAGGACTGGCGACGCAGGTCACTGCTATTGTGGACGCGACGTCCCAGACTACTGTTCAGACATGCACGCCTGTGCTGGTGGATGGTCAGCCGTTCCGCTTGGGCGATGGTTGCTCCAACTATCGCGGCAGCTCTCTGTCTTTCGACTTTGCTTGTTCTTCATAAAGATGAAGACAGTGGCTTTTGGGTCAGCTGCTGAGTTTCAGGTATAACTATGCGCATTATTGGGACAATCATGAAAAGTTAGAAAAGTTGGGCTCAGCCTGTTAGACACAAGCCCCAGCTTGGCATGAGGTTTCCACTTTCTCGTACCAACATAGACCTCGAACCATAAAAGCCAATCAAGCCTATATCAGAGTCAAATCACTAAAGTTTTAATTTTCTGATAATTTGTCTGCATGTGATACGCAAGGTTATAGACATAGGGTGCCAACTTGGAGCTCAACTCATTGTCAATGAATATCACACAAGCACAGTACCTTAGGTATTCGAGATACGCCAGCCAACGTTTGCCACTTCTCTCGAGTTCCTATAAGGCAGCTAATAAACATCTAATTCATTTCTCATGCGGCACAGTAAGGGGTCTAAACCACTTGTCTGAGCCAATTTCTGGGCATGCTCGATATACACTTGGTGACTGAGAACGGCCACTAATCATCGTTGGACAACCATGTGGAGTCCCTAACAGGTCTGCCCTGTTACGTTAGTTCAGTGCCAAGTGGCAGAGCTTATACGCCTTAGGGCGGCTCTCCGCGTTTAGTTAATCAAGCTAAAGCTTATTGGCACTGAAACCCTCCAAATCGCAACGCCCTTCCACTGACATCCGTCCCACACATTGACCTGGCCTCCACATTTTGCCGGTCTTAACCTGCCTCTTCGGCGTGACCAGTCGTGATACCAGCTCAATTCGTCATAACTTGGCGGAGCTTGCAGCTTGATTAAGAAAGTATTGGATCAACCGAGTTTAAAGCTGTGGGCGATAGGACTAGTGTTCATCATCTGTCCCTGCTTGGCGACCCCCACCGTCATGAGCTTCGATCGAAAGGCGTGACAAGATATCTAGAAACCAGCACTGTTGCATGAGTCAAATCAAGTCGATAATCTCAACTTATATATACCACATCTAGGGGTTCAACCATACTTATCCGCCCCCGGCTGGTGACCACCCTTCATCAAACGATTACTGTTTACTCCGGTTTTCCGCAAGATCCTCCCAAGCCCCCCACCCCCGCCTAGACACTCACAATGGGTTACGTCCTCTACGTCGCCAACAAGCGCTACTCCAGCTGGTCCATGAGACCATGGGTCCTCCTCAAAGCCCTCAACGTCCCCTTCGAAGAGCGCCTTCAGACTTTCGTCGCTGGTCTTCGCCAACCCGCGTTCCTGAGCTTCTCTCCCTCAGGCAAAGTCCCCACCCTCCAGGACGGCAACACCACCGTCTGGGACTCCCTAGCCATTGTGGAATACATCGCCGAAGACCACCCGGCCGCCTGGCCGCAAGACAAAGTCGCCCGCGCCTTCGCCCGTAGCGCCGCCGCGGAGATGCACACCGGCTTCGAGGCCATCCGCGACCAGTGCTCCATGAACGTGGCGCTGCGCATCGACCTCGGCGGGCCGCCCGACGCGGCGTTGCAGCGCGACCTTGACCGGCTCGAGGAACTCTGGGTCGAGGGTTTGACGCGCTTTGGCGGGCCGTACCTCGCGGGTGCGGGATTCAGCGCCGCGGACGCCTTCTTTGCGCCTGTTGCGACGAGGATCCAGACTTTTGGGTTGAAAGTTTCGGAGCCTGCGATGAAGTATGTGGAGACGCTGTTGGAGCATCCTGCTGTTAATCAGTGGGTTGTGGAGGGTATTGCGGAGACGGCGAGGGAGCCGTACCATGAGAAGGACGTGCTGAGAGGCCGGAAGGTCTTGAAGGACTTGACTCAGACTCAATGATTTACATACTGGAATTGGCGATGATGGTTAGGGTTTCTTGTTACATGGCGCAAGGTGGCTATTCGGGTACATGATGCTAGGCCTGTCTCGACTGCTCTAGGCTCTCTCGGGATGTCGATGGGAGATCCATCTAACGAAGACTTGCTTGCAAATAGAGATTTCACTTGAAGTTGCTTCTTCTTTGAACTGACTGTGAACGAGTTTGAGGCGGCGAGAGACTCCATGTCACCTGCTAACTTGACTCTCTAAGTGTACAAGTCTAACCCCTTCGCGGACCAGGCGTACCTGTTCCTTCGAGCATCACAGACGTTTGGAGCTTTAAAACTATTATGCAGTTGAGAGACTCCTGAATTGATTGCACACTACCTGATATGTTTCAAGACTGGCCTACAACCCGGCGTCTTGAGATTGTGCAGCTAGACTGTAAGTCTGTGAAGATATATATATACAAAGAAGTTGTAGGTCTTTGGGCCTCTCGGCAGCCATTTGATCTTCGTACACCTAGGTACATCGATTTCTTTAATAACATCAAGTCTTAGTTGGGGTTGCAATAGAAGCAGCCCATGTTGTTGTCAATTCCGCTGGCCAGGTTGCCGCCGGGGTATCTGAAGATTTGGTGAGAGCCCTTGGTGGCGTCACAGCCGCTGCCAGCTCTATGAGGTCGTCAGTTTCTCACACTCAAGACACATCAAATACGGAAGACTAAGAAAGGGTTCCCGTACTGGTAGAAATCGCACCAACCACCGTTGTCGGGGCCTACAGAGCTAATACGGGAGACCCAGTAGGAGTCAGGGTAGATGCCGACGCTGATGGGGTAGCAGCCGTAGTAGCAGGAACCACTGAAGTTCTACCCGTCACACATGTAGACGCCCTCACAGATGCGCTTGTTGAGACTGCGGGCGGCGTTGGAGCCGTCAGACTTGAGCTTGGCGACCTCGGTCTTCAGCTCCTCGTACGGAAGGGGACCGGCGAGGACGTAGGAGTTGGCATCCTCGGGTACGGGGCTGGGGGCGGTGGCCACGAGGGTGGCCGAGACGAGAGCGAGGAGAGAGGAGACGCGCATGTTGGCGGTTGTGATGGCTTTTTTGAGAATGGTAGAGAGCCAGGACTTGTTGAGATGATTTGTCTTGTGTGAGGAGTGGTGAGAAGGGTTGAGGTTGACGGGAAGGCACCAGGCTTTATATACCCGGAATTAGAGATGACTTCCTGAGGAGAGCCACCCGAGATACTATTAGCAAGCCAAAGGACGGTGTTCAGCTGCCCAATGCATGGGTTCCTCGGCTCATCTCCAGCTATCATTCATGACAAAGACCATGCTTCAGCTAGGGGTGGATATCACAACAGGAGACTAGGTGGGCTTACAAGGCGTCGACCATCAACTCAGCTCCGAAGCATCCACGAAGGATTTTGCGAAGCCACCATCTTTGATGGAGATTATTTTAACGGACGGCGGGGGTTCTCAAAGAACCTAGTCTAGCTTGAGGGTATTGCAACATCGCGCGTGCCCCGTTGTGCTTCTAATCGGAAAAGTCGGAAGAGCTCTTACATGATTGGAACTGGCATCAACTCAGAAACGATAGAAGAGACTAGACTTCACAGGGTTCCGCCGCATCCATCGCCTCATAGGGATGAAGCTCACCAGGATGTCTTTGGAAGATGCCTAGACTTCATGGGCTCTTCCTGATGAAGAGTCTCAGAGCATAAGCTTATAGGCTCTAGATTGGAGCGGGGGCGTTATTGATAGGCTCGAACACCGAATCTCAAGGGTAATGCCGGGAGACGGCGGACGGTGAATGGCCCATGATCCACACGTACGAAAGGTTGAAGACTCTCGTATGGACCGGCAGAAATAGATCCATGATGTAGTAAGGTTGGAATTGACGTAAATATGGCATGGGAGCATTGTAGGCTAGGAGTAGAAGAGAAGGTCCAGATGAAGGACAGATGAACTAGAGACTAGGCAGCGAGAATTCGTTCAGCCTAAGCAGCGGTTCTACCGTTACATTCAACGAACCTGGCTAAAACTACGTAGCGTAAGAGGTGTCAGCGGGGACTTGTGCCGTTGACGGCAGTCCTTCAGCGTTGAGAAGTCTGCACTTGCAGTCGTTATTCTGATATCCATTGGTACAACATGGTGGGCGAGCGAATAGTGTCACTACCCACCGCAGGTGGCAGAGGCGGGTTAGCGGGAGCTGCCTATCCGCAGTAACCATGTCGAAACATGCCACGGAGATCATGTCCGTCGATTGTAGTCTTCACGCTAGTGAAAATTCAAACCCCACACTTTAAAGGCTTAACTTAGGATACCAGGGTCATTCAAGATACGGGTTGGGAGAACGAACAGCTTGAAGTTGTTGTTCTGAGCAACAAGATGGCACGGAAGGATGGCTCTTTGCAAGTCGGCAACGGTTGGCATGGCTTAGCCCAAGACGACGCAGAGCTCTCATGATTCAAAGTCCTTCGTCAAGCACAATACACTCGCCAAACGTTGATATCGTAAGATGAAGAAGTTGGAGATACGAGCGCTGTATGAGGCATGGTGGTTGTGCAGGTGAGACCTTGGCTTCGCGTAGCCTGAAGGATTCGAATCCCGACGTTCGCAGCTGCGGTAAGCGACGTGAACTTATCAAGGGGGACCCTGAGCCAAGAGGAGATTACCATTGCGGCGGGTCTAGCTTGGCCAGCTTGGCTGTGCAACGGCCATTGACGAAGGTGATAGGTATAATGCACTGGCAGTCTGTCCGGGAATCGATTCTCGAACCTATCGAAAAGATCGAGGTGTTAAGAGCTGAAGGATGAGATAATTCGCGGGAGAAAGGCCAGCCAATCTCAATGAATTGCGAGGTATCCTATACGGACGAGGCATTGTTTAGGAAAACTGCCATCTCGTCATATGTGCGTGAGCGTGCACTTGCATTTGTTGTGAGGAGCGTCAAATGCCTGCGACTTTTCAACTTCGGGATCTGGAATGGCACTTTTTTCGCGCGCAACGGCACAGCCTGCATGATCGCGGGCTTCTGTAGCTTCAAGTATGGTTAAGCTAGGGATACTTTCAACAACCAATAATCGCACCAGCCCTGATGGTCTAGCGGTATGATTCTCCCTTAGGGTCTTCATGACACGATTGGGAGAGGTCCCAGGTTCGAATCCTGGTTAGGGCCCAATTCTTTTGTTTTGGCCGATAAAAACCATCGGATAGGTTAGATAGACTCACAACTGTTCGCTGGCGTATCTTTGGCACGGATATGACCATTTTGTTGACTGGGTGGTGACCGGATGGACCAGCCTGCTGACCTCATCTTGTGTTAGTGGTGTTGGGGTTTTTTTGGGCTGTGCTTGTAAGGAATGGGAGCATAGCAAGGAGGATCAAAGATATCAGCTCTACCTGCTGGGCGATCGATTGTGAAAATGTGATTGAACGAAAGTAAGATCAAGATAGGGAAGACATGTTAATGGCTCAATATTGCCTCCAGTTCAAGCTCCAAGTTCAAACATGAGAGTCCGGACTTAGAGTTCCTTAGGCTCTGATGGCCAGAGGTGTAAAGGATATGCTTCGGAGGCCTACTGGAGGCCTACCATCAACTGCCAGAGATTGAACTCTAAGTAAACGTTCGAAGATAATTCTCGCTTGCTTGCTGGAGAGAGATACAATAAATCATCAATTGCCTCTTCAATATGTTCCAAACATGTCAAGAAGAAGCAACCGAGATAGTTGTAAATCGTTCTTGATAACCCAAACCTACACGCAGTCCGACGATCATTCTTGCAATGACAACAATCAAGATAGGACTAGGAAGAGATACAATTTCAGCTCCCAAATTCAGCGACATGTTTCGCCTTGCGGAGAAAGGAGGCAGGCACCTCGACCACCGCCACGTAAATCTCATGACGGCCGAATCCCGGACCAAGAAGATCACCAACTACATCCGCCGCAGCGTCAAAGTCTTTGTGCGTCTGCGCGATACTGTTACTGAGCTCTTGAAAGAAGCCTTGGGCCTAGCGATCAAAGCGGGAAGGATAATGCTCGAATTCGACAAGGAGCACCCGTACCTCGTCGCTCTAGTTGTCGGCGGAGTGGTGCTGGCCGTTGTCTCCCCTTCGGTGATGCGAGCCCTCGGTTTTGGACAACTTGGACCTGTCGCTGGTGAGGTTTTCAGCAGATGACTCCTCCGTCTTCTCTACCTTACGGTAAATCCTGACGCAGTTCCCGCTCAAGGTTCTTCCGCGGCAAGGTGGTAGGCGCCAATAGGCGCGGCCGTTGCGACGGGCTCTCTGTTTTCTATCTTGCAGTGGCTTGGAATGACTTGGATTTGAATCATGGGAAGGCTCTTTGGCTACAATTTGAGGCTTTCATGACCCGCCTAGTCGCATTCGAGGGCCATAGCAAACTTGAGATAATACGAGTTGAAGAAATCTATGTTTTCTCTTTCTCTAACTCTAGAAGTGCTGCCCACTTGATTCATGAGAAGCTTGACCTCTATCAGGTGTCTCCAGTGCGCTAGTTGATTAATCGTGTTGCTTTCTATCTGTATCATCCTCTCTTATGTATTGATCAAATACGTTTGTGATCGAATCGTAGTGGTTCGCATGTGCCGCCTCGTATATGAGTGGGAGCAAAGCATCGCGAATTGGGTTCAACCTGCCCATTTAGCTCCGGCTACATCATCAGTTGAAGGATAATTGAATTGATGCAAAAGAGAGATGGAAAGGAGCTGCTCTCTCGATTACGGGTAGCTTTCTGATCCAAGATTGTTTGGAGCACGAGGTGTTGGTTCATGTGTTTTTGGGCCCAACAATTGCGCAGGTGAGTTGCATTGAACCAACGGGCGGCATATGAACGAATGAGCAGGGCGGACTCCATGTGGGAGGCCAACCATGAGGAGGCGCGGTGAGCTCGAGTTGAACCCTTATCTCATCCCGTTCATTCGTTAGTGAAATTGCAATAACAGCGGCAAGGCTGTCTCTCTCGATCATCTCGCGACCTTGAAGGGAGGAGAATCGTATCTTTCTTTCTCTCACACACAGCGATCTTTTTGGCTCTGTATCCGCAAACTTCGCATTCTTGAAACGATTGCATTCACAAAAGACACCAAGATGGAGCACGACAAGAAGGACAACTGCAACCTCCTTGCCCACTGCCTCCCGCAGTTCCATGCGGGCCCGAAGCCAATCACGCCCGAAAAGCAGACGAGCATCATCAAAGACCAACCCATTCGGTCTGCCCAGGACGCCGCTTCCGAGTTCATCGATATCCTTCGCACCGCCGAAAAGGGAGGCAAAGACCTCGAGCGCCGTCTCAGAAACATCGTCACGGTCAACTCCTGGACCGAAGAGCTCGCCAAGTACATCCTCTCCGGCGTCGAAGGCCTCGTCCGCCACCGCGACACCATCGGCCAAGTCGTGCGGGAGACTGTGGACAAGTCGACCGAAGCTGCTGACAGCGTGTTCGAGTTTGCCAAGGAGCATCCCGTCTTTGTTACCATCATCGCCATTGGCGTGTTGGTTATCGTTGCCCCTTGGGTTATTGAGGCCCTTGGCTTTGGCGAATTTGGACCTATTGCCGGTAAGTCTTGCAATCTCATGCCATCGTTTCGTTTTCATGGATCAAATTCTTACTAATATCAATCTAGATACCTTTGCCTCCTGGTGGCAGGCGCGATATGCCGGATACGTTCCCAAGGGGTCTCTCTTCTCCTTCCTCCAGGGGCTGGGAATGACTTGGAAATGACTCCTGGGGTTTGGGAAGGGATTTCGATTACGGGCCAAGCTTTAACGCTTGAAGCCAGGCATATTAATGACTGTGGAAAGGACAAGGTATGGCGACATGTCGCTGGGGCGTGTAGTTCTGGGCCAAGTTTTCTGCAAGTCTGTTAGGCCAACGGCTAGCATCCCAATTGAATCCTATTGCCTCGCAGCTCATTTTCACCGCACTACTTGTGCTCGTTCATAGCCAACCGTTTGTCAGAGCGAGTAGCTCGCGGTCCTGAAGTATATGCAAAGTATTGTATCATTGTCGAATTTTCCCTGACCCTCAAAACGCCCGAAAAGTCGACCCACGGGGAATCATAAGACACAGAGAGCAAAGCTTATCTATTACAAAGCCCCCCCTTCTTATGCCTCCTCCGTCGAAATGCCCGTAAACGCCTCCTTTTCACCATCTGCGCCCGCCTCATTATCCGTCACGGGCTCCGTCGTCTTCCACACATCGTTCCTCAACGCCTTGTCCTCCTCATCCTCGACCTCGCCAAACTTGGTGACGCTGAACTCGGGCATGGCACGCCGTTCCTTGGAGAGGATGCCGCCGCTCTTACCGGCTCTGCGTCTGCGCTCCTGCTCTGCGTCGCGCTGGATCGCCGCCTTCTCGCCCGCGGCGTCGAGCATCGTGCCCTCCAGGCTGAGGTACCCGTGGTCGCCGCTGACGCCGACGTCAAACGCCTTGATGCGGAAGCGCACGCGGCCCTTGACCTTGTCTCCGGCGCCGTCGACCCAGAAGCCCGTGGTGTGGATCTGGCGCACGGCACCATGCTCGTCCTCGGCGGCGGCCTCGGTGTTCTCGACGTCAAAGGGGTCGGCCACGTAGGAGGCGGCCTCGGCTGAGCCGGCGTGCACCCAGCGCCATTCGGGGGGGAGGCGGCTGGACTCGATGCTGGCGTTGAACTTGCCCCAGCAGACGACGCCGACGTGGCCCTCGTTCTCAAGGTTGATGCTGCCTTCCATCCAGGCGCCGCGGCGAGGGACAAAGAGGTCGACGTCGACGGTCACGTAGCCGAAGCCGACGGCGTATTCGTCGACGGAGGTAAGGTCGCAGTGCTCCGAGTCGCTCTTGGCGGCGTAGCGGCGGCCGGGCTGCTCCGAGACGGCGACGTTGCGGAAGGCGAGGAGGACGCCCTTGAGGTCCGGGACGTAGCGGTTCACGAGGGGCTCGAGGTGCTGCGTCGCGGCGGCGGTGCAGGGTGTGTCCCAGCCTATGGGGTAGATGGGGAGGTATAGCGAGACGGTCTGGGTGTAGAAGGGGAACTGGGGCTTGGAGGGCGCGTCGGGAGGTTGGTGGACTCGGCCTGTTGATTTCGTCTTTGCGGGGGAGTCGACGTCCATGGCATCGGCGTCTGCGTCGGCGACGGTTTCGGGGGACGCTGCTTGCTTGCTCTTCTTTTCCTTGTTTTCGCTCGCTGGCGGCTCTGCGGCATCTTCGACTGCTTGCGCTGACTCCTTCTGATCTGACTTGCGTTTCTTCTTTTTGTCCTTCTTCTCCTTGCGCTCGGCATCCGAACCGTCTTGTTCGGCGGACTCGCCTACTGACTTTCTGTGCTTGTCCTTCTTGGACTTCTTCTTTGCGGATGATGGCTCGCCATTGGTATTGCTCGTCGCGGCGGTGTCCATTGAGAGGTCCTGTGAAGCCTGAGGAGATTCTTCTTCTTCGTCGTTGGCGTCGTTCTTGGCTACACCGAGGCTCTTTGTGCGCTTGTGCTTGCGCTCTTCGGCGGCATCGTCGCCCTCCTCGCGCAGGCGCTTCTTCTCCTTCTTGTCCTTTTTGCTCCTCTTGTCGGACTTGTGCCCATTGGTCGCTGGTGAGTCGGTAGACGCCATATTTGCGGTTTGGAGGGTTGCTCGGCGGTTCGTGGTTGGGGTGTTGTCGTCGTCGAATCTCGCCCGGCGGGTCGCGAGGTAGCTGCGATCCCGACTGTCGAACCAAAAAAAAAAGGTTGAACTTCAAAAAAATTTCTAGGGAAACTTCACCGATCGGTGGTGGGGTTGCCCGTCTCCCGCGTGTGGGTCCGTTGTCCTCTCAGAAAACACCGTGCCGACAGGGATACCTGATATGGTGGGGCCTTGAGGGGTACGTACCCGGCCCGGTCGGAGTCGGGAATCTCGCTGGGCTTCAATGGCGTGCCTCATCCGAACATTTCGCTTCCAGTTGAATCCGGGATCACCAGAGACAAAGTTTCATTGTACCGGAGGTCGGAGACACAAGATGGTTGCTTGTGGTGGAGAAGCCCGGTTCCAAAGACCGCTTACATTCGGCTTCTTCACAGCCTGTTGTCTCTTTGAGGGAATGTGAATGGGCGAGATGAACGGCGTGGGGCTCGACGGTTCTCGCATCCGTTCCCCTCATTGCTTCCCCCAATGCCCCTCCATCTCATAAGCGCACCTTGAGATGGCGTCAGACTCGAGGGGTCGAAGCACAGCTTGCATGTGTCTAGTAGTTTCAGTGGGGTGAACCATTGAGCCGTTATCGCTCTGTGTTTTGTAATACACTTGAAGCTATAAGAACCAAACATCCGGCCATAGGCACTCACTTCCAGGATTTGGAGACCCTTTACAACAACCAGATATCTTCTACGCTAATAAATCGTATTCGTTCGTAACACGACATCATGGCTACCTTCAAAGCATCCAAGATCTTGGTGTTCGGCGCGACTGGCCAGATTGGTGTTTTCATCACAGCGGCATTGCTAGATGCCAGCCCCTCTTTTGACCAAATCACCATCTTCACATCGCCGACCACAGTGGAGAGGAAAGCAGACTTGCTCGATGACTGGAAGAAGAAGGGACTGAAGATCATCGCCGGCGATGTCGACGACACGGAGCAAGTCAAGGCGGCTTACAAGGATGCCGATACCGTTATATCTGCGCTGGGTAGAAATGTGATTGAGAAGCAAATCGATCTCATTAAATTGGCCGAGGAGACCGACTCTGTCAAATGGTTCTTCCCCTCCGAGTACGGAACGGATATCGAATACGGTCCCAAGAGCCCCAATGAGAAGCCTCACCAGGCCAAGCTCAAGGTACGCAAGTACATCCGCGAGAGTGTTCAGAGACTCAAGTACACGTACCTGGTAACGGGCCCTTACGTCGACATGTTCTTGACTTTGCCGTCGATTGCGCAAGAGGCTGGCGGGTTTGACACAGCTGCCCGTAAGGCAGTCCTGATTGAAGACGGCGAAGGGAAGACTGGTCTTATCACCATGAAAGAGTACGTTTCCAATTCCACACTCTTACTCGTGTCCCCCAGTACTGACTTGAGTGTTCAAAGCGTTGGTACAACATTGGTGGCATCACTTCGTCACCCCGAGGCATCCTTCAACCAAGCTCTCAAAGTTCAGTCCTTCGTGGCGACCGGCAAGGAAATTGTGGCCGAGTACGAGAAGCAGACTGGAGAGAAGTGGGAAATCGTCTATTCGTCGCTGGAGACCTTGAAGAAAGCTGAGGAGAAGGCGTGGGCTGAGGGCATCCCTTACGCCACCATCTTTACCTTGCGACGCATCTGGGCTGAGGGCGGCACTTTGTACGACAAGACTGACAATGAGAGGATCGGGCTTGGACCAAACGACGTTGAGAGCTTAGAGATCGCTGTCAAGAGATCACTGGGTAAGATTCAATAAGTTTCGAGCGTGGAAGAGACTACGATTAATTTTAAACTCTTTTATCCAACAGTTTCTAAATCCAAATTGTGAAGGTTAAGAAAAGATTGATTCCCGAGAGGCTTATGTTTACCAGATCATGTATCATGCTGGACAAACTGAATGTTACTTCTTAAAGATACATTAGTAAAATCGGTTCATTGGGAAAGAGATCGATCAAAAACCACCTCATGATTTCAACATTGGCATCGACTGCTTCATAAGATATGGACTCATCAGCCTGGAGGCATAGCTTTATGCGATGAATGATCAGGTACCTGAGAGTGCAGCGAATAACGGCGCTAGGAAATGTACCTTAGTTACTGAACCGGATCCCGGCCCGCTCGCGGATCCTGGAACAGCGCGGCGTGCCAGGGACTGTAGCTGCTAGCGGCGCTGAAATGCGTAACAGCGACGTGTGGCAGCTGTGGCAGCTGTGGCATGTGGGCAGCTTCCCCATGACCACCGGCGACTTCCCCAGCTTTCCCAACTTCGCTTTGTCGTCCCGACTGCCCCCCTCTCGAACGAGGCAGGTTCCTTGTTCTCAACTGATTCAACTTGCCCCAAACACAAACCACCGTCTTCACACAATTCCGAGCTCACTTTAGACGACACACACAACCTCGCAGCATCCAGCGTCGTTCGCCAACATGGCTCCTTCGGGTCTTCGACAGTGCATGCACGATGTCAGCCTATACTTGCTTGTCTTAATTTCTGTCTCGACTTTGGGCCCCCTGCAGTTCGGCTTCCACCTTGTATGTCATTGCATCATTCCGCTCCAACGTCGTTTTGCTTAACCACGAAACGTGACTTGCTGACCCGCTGTGCCTCTCTTCCAGGCCGAGCTCAACGCCCCTCAAGATGTCCTTACCTGTCGAAAGAAGTCAATTGCGGCCAAGGGAGTGAAGCTTACATGGGTGCACTCGAAGGCGCCGGACCCCGAGCCCTGGCTCCCCGAGTGTATTCCCATGTCTGACGCCGTCTTCGCGACCGTCTCCTCCATCTTCACTGTCGGTGGCCTGCTCGGTGCTCTTTGTGCCGGCCCCTTGTCTTCGAAGCGCGGCCGACGTCCTGCTATGCGAGTCACGTCCATTTTATACATTATCGGTGCCATTATCGAAACCCTCGCTGGAGGTGCTGCTGCTCTGGCAATCGGCCGATTCTTCACGGGTATGGCGGCTGGCGCGTCTACCGTCATTGTTCCGCTGTACATCAGTGAAATCGCGCCGCCAAAGGAGCGCGGTCTGTTTGGTGCCATGACTCAGGTCTCCATCAACGTGGGCATTCTTGCCGTCCAAACTCTGGGCTTCTTCCTGAGCTACGGGAAGGCTTGGCGCTGGATCTTGGCTGCCGGCGTCTTCATTGCGTTGGCGCAGGCTTCCGGCCTCATGTTGATTCCTGAGAGCCCGGCGTGGCTGGCTGCCAACGGCGACGTCCCGAAGGCTCGCCGTACTCTGCAGCGTATCCGTGGCAAGGACTTCGACATCAGAGAGGAAGTCGAGAGCTGGGATGGGGAAGTGAACGCTGAGCAAGAGGGTCTCTTGGCCCAGAGCGACGACGTGCCGCCAGTGTCTCCTGGCCTGCCCAAGCACACCTCGCCTGTCCATCTTGGATTCTTCGACGTGATCAAAGACCCGCTTCACCGACCTGCTATCGCCGCTATTATCGGCATCATGTTTGCCCAGCAGCTGTGTGGCATCAACTCTGTCATCATGTACTCGGTATCTCTCCTGAACGACTTGTTGCCCGTCAGCTCCGCCCTACTGACGATTTTGATTTCTGTCATCAATCTCATTACGACTGCGGCTTGCTCTCCGCTGCCGGACAAGCTCGGAAGAAAGACCTGCATCCTGGTCTCCATCATTGGACAGGGAATCAGCTCGCTGGTTCTTGCTCTTTCTATTCAGTTCGGGGTCAAGATCTTGTCGGCTGTGTCAGTCGTTTCATTTGTAGCATTTTTCGCCGTTGGCCTTGGACCAGTTCCTTTCATCCTTGCGTCCGAAATGGTTGGACAAGAGGCTGTTGGCGCTGTCCAGTCCTGGTCTCTAGGATCCAACTACATTGCAACCTTCCTGGTTGCTCAGTTCTTCCCGATCGTCAATAATGCCTTCAACAATTGGCTCGGAGGAGCTGGCTGGGTGTACTTCCTCTTCGCCGGCTTCGCTGCACTTTTTGCCCTGTTTGTTTCGGTCAAGGTGCCCGAAACCAAGGGCAAGAAGGACGCGGACGAAGTTTGGGGACGCACTAGACGGCTCGACTAAGACATCGTCTTGCTTCTTGTAGTGCTGCATGGGATTGAATAGAACGGTAAAAGGTATGGCGTTGGAAATGGGTGTCAATAGCATGGGTATTATTAATAGATCGATCAGTTTTGGAACAAGCGTCTGCTTCTGACAGTTTGCTCGAGCTGCAAAATGCCAGCTTTGACACCATCCACGATGAAAACCTGGCTGCCCTTCTCTGGACCATAGACGTCGTTGGCTGAGCTGCGAATAATCTCCTCGAGCCCGGCCATACCTGCACATCCCATAACCACACACCGCACATCTCCGCTACTTAGCAGCTTCTTGGTAGCTTGCTCCAGCTTGACCCTGACTTCAGCCGGGCTGACGTGGTGGAAGTCTCCAGCTGTCAAGCCAGTCGACGCAACGCCCCCGAACTTGACATTCTCTGATTGCTCAGATTGACCCAGGTAGCCCTTCACGCCTTGGCTGAGGTGCTTCTCCCAGAACTCGCCAGTCGTGACAACGCCCCATTTGGATGCGAGAGAAGGGTCAGAGCTGTGAGGCAAGAGTGAAGTCGCAGTCAGGATGCTGGCCTCGAAGATACCGGCGACGGCCAGCGAGGAGTGGAACTGCTGAGAAAGCTGCTCAACCAAGGTGTGGACACTATAGCATGCGACGAGCACGCCGTCGAAGTCTTGGAGCTTGCCACTCTTGGCGAGATCGTTCATAACGACCTCAGTGCTCAGTTTGATGTCGGCATCATCGTTGATGCTTGCTGGACTGGCAGGTGGTGCTGTGTATGTGTGAATTTCTAGCGACTAACACAGAAAGAGGGAAGTCAGCCCTCGATCATTTGTGGTTGTGACTTGGCCGCCGTGTCCAGCCTGTTGGTTCATTTTGACTTACATCGTGCAAGGGCATTGCTTGTATGGCTTTCTCCATGCCCCTCGTCATATCCTCTGACGAGTTGGCGTTGATCACGAGGATCTTGATATTCCGACGAAGGAGACGGGTTGCCATGATTGCCTTATGACTGCGCAGAAAATGTGACTAGAAAGGTTGTTCCTTACGAGATGGTCGACACTTTGTGAGAATGAAGATCAACTAAACTGTGCTACTCACCCCTCAAGCGCGTGAATCATCATGGTCCCGCCGACCAGCGGCCTTCAACGAGTGGAGATTCTCCCGTCAAGGTGGGGCTGCCGGTCCGGTGACGCTGGGTTCCAGTGCACCGAATGAGCCGACCACGGCTCCTCCAGGTCCTTCAGCACCACTTCTTTCAGTGACAGTGCACTGGAGTCCACTGTCATGGACCGTGACGACCGCTGGCTGCGGGGTATCACGTGACACACACCTACGTACTCAGCCACGACCTGGCTGACGATCCAGTGGCAGGACAGCTGGGAGGCAGCGGACTTGGCCCAACCCCACTATCGACGACACAGACGTAACAGCTTCCCGGACGCTCTCCCAACCACACCTCACCTCACCTCACCTCTCCCCCAAATCGAAAGAAGCTCCAATCTCGAAAGCCTGCAGCTTCTGCTATCACAATGGCAGCCGAGGCCCCCATCGGTAAGATGCAATGCCCCTGATACTGCAGCTACGGCTGCATAGCTATGCCTGTGACCGCTTTCCCCAGTAGTTGATGCTCTCTGTTCGGTTCGGGAGGTGGCTGACGCAAGATCCACAGTCCTCGACGGAGGAACAGGTTTCCTCAAGGTCGGCTACGCAGCGCAGAACTTCCCCGAATTTCAATACCCATCCATTGTCGGCCGACCGATCCTGAGAACCGAAGAAAAGGGCGAGGACAATGACTTGGTTATCAAGGATATCATGTGCGGTGACGAAGCCGCCGCCGCCCGGACGATGCTTCAGATCAGCTACCCCATGGAGAACGGTATCGTCAAGAAGTGGGATGACATGCAGCATCTCTGGGATTACACCTTTTTCGAAAAGATGAAGGTCGACCCGCGCGGCCGCAAGATCTTGTTGACCGAGCCCCCGATGAACCCGCTGCGGAACCGTGAGCAGATGTGCGAGGTCATGTTTGACCGCTACGGATTCGGCGGCGTCTATGTTGCCATCCAGGCCGTATTGGCCCTGTACGCCCAAGGTATGTTGACCACACTAGCTACGATCGACTTGGATCAGAGAGAGAGAGAGAGAGAGAGAGAGAGAGAGAGAGAGAGAGAGAGAGAGAGAGAGAGCGAGAATATGCAACGAGGCTGACCTTGGATGCTCCCTACAGGTCTCAGCTCCGGTGTCGTCGTCGACTCGGGAGACGGCGTGACCCACATCGTGCCCGTTTACGAGTCGGTCGTCCTGAACCACCTTACCCGCAGACTAGATGTCGCGGGCCGAGACGTCACGCGCAACCTCATTGCGCTCCTCCTGCGCCGCGGCTACGCGCTCAACCGAACGGCCGATTTCGAGACTGTCCGTCAGATCAAGGAGAAGCTCTGCTACGTCTCGTACGACTTGGAGCTGGACAAGCGCCTGAGCGAGGACACAACGGTGCTGGTGGAGAGCTACACGCTGCCCGACGGCCGTGTCATTAGAGTGGGCAGCGAGCGATTCGAGGCGCCAGAGTGCATGTTCCAACCTCACCTGGTGGACTGCGAACAGCCCGGTATTGCCGAATTCCTGTTCAACACGATCCAGGCGGCCGATGTGGACGTGAGATCATCGCTGTACAAGGCCATTGTGCTGTCAGGCGGCAGCAGCATGTACCCTGGTCTCCCGTCACGTCTGGAGAAGGAGTTGAAGCAGCTGTGGCTGACGCGGGTGCTTGGCGGCAACCCGGAGAGATTAAACAAGTTCAAGGTCCGGATAGAAGACCCACCTCGTCGGAGACACATGGTCTTCCTCGGTGGTGCGGTGCTGGCCAACATTATGGCAGACAAGGAGGGTATGTGGGTGACCAAGGAGGAGTGGGATGAACAGGGACCGCGTGTGCTTGAGAAGCTCGGCCCGCGATAGATGAATGGTCTGCCAAGGTGATGGATGTGATGGCCGCGTTGGTAGTAGACGTAGCATGCATGTGGCAGGTTTTAGAGCCTCGTTTTGTTTTCTAACGAAAAAAGTTGATGAACTCTATTATGATACTGGCGTACAGAAAGTCTTTTGTGGTCAAAGGAGAGCTATCTTTGAGTGTTTTGGACAAGGTCTTAATCTCTTTCTATGCTTAAGCTTCCATCGATGAACCGCGAGGTCAACACCGTGTAAGATAACACAACCTCAACACTGTGCAACCAGGCAACGGCTTCCCGCTACCAGAGAGAGCGATGCGCCTACCTCTACGGAGTACGCCCAAGTCGATGGGAAGCCACGCCGCCTCGTCTGTTACTTGTCGGTGAAACGTCACTTCAACTCACTCTTTGCTCTCTTCTGGAACCTCAACCTCTCACTCGCTTGCACTCTATCAATCATCCTTCATCCGCCAGCTCGCATATTCTTGGGCCCCTTCTCTGTGATCTGTCTCCAGTTCTACCTCTTCCTCATCCTTGCGACACTTTCGGCCCAGGGGGGGTTTTCTCCGCACTTCAAATCGTCATCGCTTGTGATCGCACACAGTAAACACCACAGAATCCAGAGACTTTGCGACTCGTGCCCGACGCGCGACGCCGATCCTCGCATCGCGTACTTACTCTCACTTGCCTGGCCACCAGGGCGGGCGCGCATCGCCATTCAACGCGGACTGATAGCCTGTCATTGACCCTGTCGCGAATATCGCATTGGTCTTTTTCACTTCGGCAACTCGCGAAAGGATCCGCGAAGCATCTAAGAAGATCCCAGCCAGCCCACTTGCTCAGCTCAGCGGCGAAAAAGTCCGCCGTGTGGGCGCATCTCTACGCAAGCCCGATCTCCGAATCTGAGAGGGGGAACAGGACTTCCAAACCAAAAGAGTCGTTGACCCCCGCGCGCGCACACAGGTTCGCGCCTTCATCGGCCACCCCCAGACAACGTCGTTCTGGATAAGCTCGCCCACGACTCGATTTGGGGTTTGACATATTCCTTTTTGTCGTGTTCAGCGCGGGGCCGTTAGTTTCGGGGCACTACACCCGTCTCCTGCGGCACAGGACCGTCGCTACTCTGAGATAACCATAGCACACACCCACCCACCACATTTACGCGCAGACGCATACGCGAGCACACCTTTGACACCTTTGCGGAATCGGGATCTTGCGCCATTCATCCACTCTTGCGCCGCGCACGAGTCTCTCTCTGGCTGGTCTGGCGCGGACGCCTGTCCCTGAGCTGGAGCTGGTTTTTTGGACGGACTGTGGACTCGACGTCTTTTTGCTGCTCGATCACTAACCTGACCCTGCTCGCGCCGCCGCCGACACAACCTTGACTTATTTGGAGACCCAAAGCCGGAGCTACGGTGTCCCTTTCCTAGCTCAGATTCAGACTTTCGCCGGAACGATATCCACTGACAAGTGTGCGTGCCCCATTTTCGCCACGTTTCGGCGGAGATTTCCTTGGGACACACGAAAGCAAAGTCCTGGTTCCTGGGATAGGGCAGTTGTGGTTCAGTCTCTCAGGCGGGGGCAGAGACTATTGTGACTGTGAGGTAACTTGGATGAGAGAGGCGAGCCTCACTTTACGGTTGTCGAATTGAGAGTTCCGACTTGAGCCAAGCAAGCACGACCGCAAGGCACTCTTTGAAGCGAAAAAAGGACTCCACGAGTTAACTGTGGTTACTTTGAGGGGAGGATACCTAATCGGATACTTTGGAACCTCGAATTTGCGACTCCAATACGGATATTAAAGTCAGCAGCGAACCACCACCCCGACGGATGATGAGTCTGACAAACCCGCCATCCGTTGCATCGGGTCCTGGCTCGGTGCGGACAGGCACGCTCAAGAGAAGCGTCCAGGCAGCGTTTGAAGGTGAGTCTTGATGTTTGCTTGTCGGTTACGTTCATCATACACTTCTGCAAACGCTCTCGTCCGTAACTGCCGTTCACTTTTTGCCCCCTTGGCTTCCCAATTTTTGCCCTTTTTTGCGGCTTGCCTGACTCGAGTTGAATGTCAATGTGTCGTTCCGGAAGGCAACCCGAGAGTCAAGCGACAAACATCAGGTGCAACAAGTGAGCGAGCATAGCAGCGGCAAAAGACAAAAACTTGGATGAGGAGTGAAGCTAAAGGCAGCAAGCACACTTGACACTTCAGACTCAAAGTGAGAGAAGAGATACAGAGAGTTCGCACACACGCAGAGCACGCAGAGAGTACCTATTGTACATTTCTTGTTCATCCCGCTGCTTCGCTTCCACCATCCATCCGTTGCGGCTGTCGCCGCGGCCGCCGCCGTCGCCTGCTCGTACCCTATTTGCAAACCCCGTTTCTTTTAATGTATAATCTTATCCACATTTTCTCCTCTTGTCGATCGTCGACCACCACCCCGGGTGTTCCATCCGTCTTGTGTATCGAATCGTATCTGGTCGAATGCACCCCTCCCACTCGCAATCCTGCACGTCTCTTCCTGCACTGCACACACACTCTCTCACTCACTCCTCCACTCACTCTCACTCTCATTCACCACACGCCATACGCCATACACCACACATTCACTTCCACATCCGCGGTCCTAGGCATTGCGCAGTAGTTAGTTTCACGCTCACTCCTCCGCAAGACCCTTTGGATCTTTGAGGAAACGAAGCTCTCGGGAATCGGGGCCATCATTCAGCGGCAGCTCGCCTGTTATTGCTCTTCCACATTTTCGCCTTCGCCCCATTTTCCGAGAATTTTCATACACACCCATTCAGAGACATATCCCAGCACATATCCTCACTGCGTCTCCAAATCCAATCCAATCCAATCCTAATCCTCCTCGACCTCCACCCATCCTATCCCATCCTACCGGGTATCCCGCCGTGAGAAATACAACCTATACATAACTTTCGGGGGTCCTGCATCTGCCGTCTCCTCATTTTTCCCTTTCCCCACCGCTACCTTGCATCTCACACGATCATTGAGCACTCAGCCGAGAGGAAAAGGGTTCCGGCGCAACTTCGCGAGCTGTGCCGTGCGTGCTGTGTGTGTGTGTGTGTGTCCAGTGTGTGTTTCGACGGGTGGCAGGCTGCATTCTTCCGCCGGCGCCGCTTCTCTGCCTATTTGCTCTTTAAAGCTTAGAGCCACCCCGCGAACTCCAGCCCACACTGCCTACTGCCTGCCGCAGTCAGCCCCAGACCCAGACCCCGAAGCCTGAACCTGCTGCTCTTGGATCGGCGGTGAGCTTTGCCTGCTTTTGGAGGTGTTCTTCCTGGCGATTGTCACCACGTGTGTTGCTGCTTCCCGAAAGCCTCACCTGATATTCCATCCCTCCTGGTGTATTCGGGATCAAGAGACATGTGTTGTCTGTAGAGCGAGTGCATATTGTGTTTACTCCCTAAATCCTCTCGTCGCTCGCATCGCCTGTCTCATTTCCTTTTTTTCACAAAAAGGACCTCTCTCACAATCACATATTTTTTCTCAAACATGTGGAGGGGAATAGGCTACGGCGGCCTGCACAGTCATAGCTCTTGTATATGGCATCCTCTCCCAATTTCATCTCTGCTTCTGCTTCTCACTCACTTTCAAACCCGCTGACACATTTTTCACAGACCCAGCAGACCGCGGCCTCGGCCACATCAATTATCAGCCCAAGGTCCGGGTTATCGAGCGATATAAGGTCGTCGGATTCATTAGCTCCGGAACCTATGGCCGCGTCTACAAAGCCCTTGGCCGCCAGGGCCAAACCGGCGAGTTTGCCATCAAGAAGTTCAAGCCCGACAAGGAGGGTGAACAGATTTCGTATACGGGCATCTCTCAGTCTGCCATCCGCGAGATGTCTTTGTGCAGTGAGCTGAAGCATGCCAATGTCATCAAGCTCATCGAAATCATCCTGGAAGACAAGTGCATCTTTATGGTCTTTGAGTATGCCGAGCACGATCTGTTGCAAATCATTCACCACCACACGCAAAACCCTCGCCATCCCATCCCGCCACAGACGGTCAAGAGCATCATGTTCCAGCTCCTCAACGGTTGCCAGTACCTACACGCCAACTGGGTCCTGCACCGCGATCTCAAGCCTGCCAACATCATGGTCACCTCAGCTGGGGAAGTCAAGATTGGCGATCTAGGTCTGGCCCGCCGCTTCGACAAGCCCCTGCACTCCCTCTTCAGCGGCGATAAGGTTGTCGTGACGATCTGGTACCGCGCGCCGGAGCTCATACTCGGGAGTCGTCACTACACCCCCGCCATCGACATGTGGGCCATCGGCTGCATCTTTGCGGAGCTGCTCTCGCTGCGGCCCATCTTCAAGGGCGAGGAGGCCAAGATGGACAGCAAGAAGACGGTGCCCTTTCAGCGGAACCAGATGCAGAAGATTGTCGACATCATGGGCCTGCCGTCCAAGGAGCGCTGGCCGCTGCTGTCCGCCATGCCAGAGTATCCACAGCTCGCTACGCTGCAGCCGCCCATGACGCCGCATCACCACGGTCACCACGGTCACCACCGCGGACACGGGTACGGTCACCACCCTCCCGCGCCGAGCGGCTCGAATTTGGAAAAGTGGTATTACAGCACTATATCGCAGGGAGCCTCGAGCAGCGCGACGTCGGCGCCGCAAGGTGGAAACGGGGGCGGCGCGCCGCTGGCGAGCTTGGGGGCTGAGGGGTATAAGTTACTCGCGAGCCTGTTGGAGTACGACCCCGTGGAGAGGTTGACTGCGGCCAAGGCGCTGCAGCATCCGTTCTTTTCGACGGGTGATCGGTTGAATGCGCACTGTTTTGAGGGGTTGAAGAATGAGTACCCGCATCGGAGGGTCAGTCAGGATGATAACGATATCCGGACGAGTAGTCTGCCTGGCACCAAGAGGAGTGGGTTGCCTGATGATTCGCTCGCTAGGCCTACGAAGAAGTTGAGGGAGATTTGAAGGTGGCTTGTTGTGTGTTTTGGTCTTGGTGTATGTGGTATGGATCAAAGCATTGGCATGGTACGGCGTTTCCACTGGTGTCATGTGAAAGATATAGACAGTGGTACAATGGCGTTTTTTTGAGGTTGGGCTTCTTGGGGGTTGGGGTTTGCATGAATACCACCATTACACGATTGATAGAGAAATAATTCCAAAGTTTTGAACATGGAGAATGAGTGAATTTTTTCCCTATGTGCTTTGTGATGGCCCTCTGGGTGAGATTTAGTGTTTCTGGAACTGGGAGGCCTGTGGCTAACGGTTGAGAGATGCAATGGACAGATTTTATGGTGGGGTAGGAGAATGGCGTCGATGGGCTATGCATGGTTAAGGGCGGAAGAGATTGAGTCTTATAGGATTGGTAGAGTGGTCACTGAAACGAGAATTCCGAATACTTTGTCTCTTCCCTACGATATCTACCATGACTCGCAGTAGTCATTCAGGTATTATTTGATAAATCCCGTCGTTCCGCTACTATTGAACTGTCAGATGAGGAGTACTTTTAAACCCCAGGATAAGTACAAGAAGTCTCTGTGATTTATGTAGCTTCAATCTCCTTCATCCATCACGGCTAGCCATAGGGATGACGAATGGGTATATCTAGACATATCTGTCTGAGTAGGGTGAACTTGACTCTTGGCAAGTCAAAGGCGGGAAAACCGTCTCACTACGGGTTCACAGGTGGACTACGATCATGGGAAGCCTAGTGGGCGTAGACGCTGTTGGTCTGGGAATAATGACCTTTGCGCTTGAGTTCCGAGAAATTGGATGGGAGAGTGATTTAAGGATTCGAGAATTGTTGCTTGTTGACAGCTGGGAATATATAGATGGGAGTGTAAATGGGGATTACTATTGGCGAGAAAGATCTCGAATAGGATACAACGCCACCAAGAAACCTCTATTATCGAGTAAGGTATTTTGTAATGGTAGTCAAAGGTAAACCTGTGTATAGCAGCATACCGGGCATGGAGCTGTCGTGTTTTCGTGGCCCCAGTCGTGGTGTTCGTGGTGATAGTTCGGTCAGAAAGTTTCTCCACTTCCACTGCACGAGCATCGGTTAAGAGGACGTGGGCCAGGCTACCAGGCAACTGGATATCTCCGATGAAGGACCTTGGCCACCAAAGAGCTGCTGCTGGGAGAAGGGATGGGCTTCATGGCAAATTAGACGGGGAAAGATAGCCACCCCGCAAGTGGCAATATCGTGCACTAAGAAAAAAAGTGTCTGAATAGAGCATACCGACGTTGAATGGGGGTCGTGATAACTGCTACGCACCTCCAGCTTGATCAACCCGAACGCTGATGGAGTATGGCTACTGGCGGAGGGCGATGGAAGTCGCGGTGACACTCAGACGAACAAAGACACTCACCCCGCAAGTGGTAACGTCATGGACTGAAAGTAGGGGGGACCATCGGGATACGTGTTTTTGATGCATTTCATATTTGAGAGAATCATGAACCCATTCCCCCGTATCACGCCGCGTAGACTCTAGTTGTTTTTGCGTGGCCGACATAAACCCAGCCGGACCGACGCATGGGGATGATGCAAAAGCCGCATTTGTTTCATCGAATAAGATGCACACAGCCAGAGTTGGAACAAACTCCCCATTTCGGAAAAAATGAAAGGACATCCCCCCCAAGCGGAAGAAGAAACAACCACATTGGCCCAAGACGACATTTTGAATTGTTCTTTTTTGATTGTTCCACCAACGCCGCCCCACGGTCTCTTGCGGATGATCCGGGGAATTCCCCTCGTTTTGTTGGCCTGACCCCAGGCAACAAGGGCGAACCGCTTATTCCTTCTTCTTCTTGGCACCCTTGACCTTCGCCGTTCCGCGCAGGGTCTTCTGGCGGTTCTTGCGCTGCTTGCCTGTAGAGCGCGAGTAGTGTTAGTTATCAATGCTTGACGTGGGAGATTGTTATCAGATTCGCCACCGCGACCTGTATCACGACAAAGGTTCGGGCCAGACGAAAAGAGTCTTGTCCCGATACCCAGCGATACGATAGTGCTGCGGTGGCAAAGTGCTGACTGGAGCTTCGACGTACGCTGCTGTCTGCTGGCCTTCTCGATCTTGCTGGCGAAGCCAACGCGGACCAGTCTGTAGTGGGGCTCGAACTTCTTCATGGCCTCGGGGGAGTCGTAGACGAGGGCGAAACCAGTGGTCTTGCCGCCACCGAACTGGGTGCGGAGACCGAAGACGTTGATCTGGTCCTTGGTGGCCTTGTACAAGGAGCCGAGCTTCTCGCGGAGCTCATCCTTGGAGATGTTGGCGCGGCCGGGGTGGAGGATATCACTTTGAGAAAACCGTCAGCATGCAGTTCCTCTGTCTCTCGAAATTCCCATTGACAAAGTCCCATCGAGTCCATCCATCGCGCGCGCGTCCGTCCGTTTCCCAATCCGAGTCTCGATCCAGTCGTTGTCGATATATCGCAGTGTCGATTGTTGGTGTTCCTCCTCCCCTCCTCCCGTTCGATATATCCTTTCGTACGCGCGCGATTCTCTCTCGGGGAAAAATGATGATAAATCTGGAGGGGCAAACTCACACGACCATCTGCTTACGGCCAAGCAGGGGGTTACGGATGAACTTGCGAGTTCGCAGGGTGACGGGGGTGTCGACGTCCGCCATCTTGTCGGTCGGGGGGCTGATCTGTCTGTCGAGATGGGTTGGCGCTGAGACAGAAGAGTCGAAAGGTGTGATATCGTCAAATTCGAGAGGTTTGTGACGGGGCTACAGACGTGAATTTTCCTGGGCGGGGATTGGTGTCGCTTAATGGGTGGGCAAGCCCTAGAAAGTGCCTCAGGATCCGCCGCACCTGCCTGGGTCGAAAAATGGAAAGTCACGTGGGGTCAGTGGACGCACGAGCCAGTATGTTTTTTGGAATTGGTCATGTGATGTTTGGCTTCCCAGGCACGGTGTTTGCACCGTGGCCGACGTTCCTCTGAGTCAGCACCCAACCCTTGTGCATTTTGTGCACTGCAAACCAGAGATCAAGAGCATTGCCGACTTCAAGCTCCGACTATCACCGCCTTTTCAAGAACTCATGTCTCTGAGATTTTGCTGATGGAACCCGCAGGACCCTTTGTCCTCGGAAATTAGCTCCTCATGCAAAATCTCATATCTTGACCAGACGATCATCTCTCTCCGTAAAAGACAAATTGGTCCATCATCCAGAACTGAGGCTCTACACTACACCGAATCAGGCAACATACGATATTTATTAGAGTTTCACATCACCAACCCCCATCATGGCCGGAACCCAACGCATATCAGAGTCCGTGGACCGCTTCTGTTACCAGTATCTTCAACTGGAGCCAACACTTGAGTATCCTACCGCGGAGATCATTCGTGAAGCCTCCGCCCAAGATACCATTTACAAGAAACTCTTCTCGGATGAAGCACCACGTTATAGCCCTCCTGCAAGATATCGTCTCCGGGTTCTAAAGGAACTGGTCGCCAGGATAGAGTCCAGCATCGAAGACTGGGACCAACATGTAAGTCTTGACTCCCTGTAAACGGCGCCGTGGCATGACGTTCTGCTGCCAGCTACCGGCATATTCTAACTAGGACCAGGAAGTTTCCGAGGATCTCATGACGGTCTTGTCCGAATCTCTCGCGACTCCAGTCCCATCTGAGGTGTCCTCTGCCCAGCAGAAATCCTACGTCACGTATCACCTGAGTGGTCTTGAGCAGAGCCCCCGGTCACAGCACTCGCCTTCCCCTGACATCACACTGCTTGAGGCCCGCTCGCTGATCTCTGCCTCTGGCACCACGGGTCTCCGAACTTGGGAAGCCGCGCTGCATCTAGGGCAGTTCCTGTGTGAAGACCCAAATCTCGTCAAGGGAAAGCGAGTTCTCGAACTCGGTGCAGGTACTGGATACCTGGCGATCCTCTGCGTCAAACATCTCGGCGCCACGCACGTTGTCGCTTCCGATGGATCTGATGATGTGATCAATAACCTACCAGAGAGCTTCTTCCTCAACGAACTGCAAGAAAGTACGCTTATCAGACCAATGGAATTGCGATGGGGACATGCTCTCGTGGGGACAGAGGACCAGAAGTGGAACAACGGCGAGAGCGTTGACGTTGTGATCGGAGCAGATATCACCTATGACCAGAGCATCATCCCGGCCCTCATCGCAACCGTCGAGGAACTATTTGCCCTATTTCCTGCCGTGCAGGTTTTGATATCCGCGACGCAGCGGAACGAGGTCACGTTCGAGGCCTTTTGTAGCCTTTGCCGTCAGCGTGAGATGGGCTTGAGCTACATCGAGTTTCCTATACCACCGAGGGAACAGCAAAAAGGACCATTCTATAACGACAGCGTACCTATTCGGATTTGCCGACTCTCAGCACCGCCAACCACCAGGGCGCTGTGGTGAGGCGGCATGTCAGGCGAGGCGTGATACCTTGACCATGAACACAGCGCATTTCTATCACCTTTGGCCATTGATCATGATCAAATAATCACACATCAAACGGAGACCCGTTTATTTTTACACGGACTTTGTCGAACACGAAAAGGCACGCGCGCAGTCTGGTATAACATAAAGTTCAGAGCGCCATGTCGGTTTTCTCTTTTTGGGGCGAGTTTGCCTTCGCACCCCACCATTGAATACGTTGCTTAGTGAGCAGCATCATAACAAGCAGGCCGTAGTGTAAGGTGCAGTAAATACCCGTAAACAATCAGGAGAGTTCACGGGCAAAAGTAGCTCGCTGTGATACTTCGGGGTTGCATTCCACCACGCAGCCTGTAGGGAGGGCCAACAAGGGTCTGCGATGACTTGCGTGGCAACTACGCAGGTCACAAACAAAATCAGGGTCCAAGCCGAGCTCCGGAGCAGGCGATTCGTCGTCTCACTAACAGCAAGCCCCCCGAAAACCTAGGATGTGCAGATACCTACTGCGAAGAGGGAAGTGGTGAGTTGACCTTGGATCAGGCGCCTCGAATACCTAGCGAATAACACTCGTCCTTGGGACAAACGAGGAAGAGTCGGAACTGTACTCAGGCCACGGCTAAGACCGAAGTCACAACTATGAAGATGCACCCCAAGTTTACAATCATCATGTCACCATGAACAAGATTCATTGGGAATTCTGGGGACCAGTCGATTATCATGTTATTGCCTGTCAACCTCATGCACACCCCAGTGCCAGCTTCCCCGCATTCTGGGTCCAAGAACGAATGGTCTGATGCTTCGGCAGTCTCAGGACGCGGAGAGAGTTGGAAGGCACCGGATGCGTTCTGAGATGAGGGGTCGCCTTGTTCGATGGCCACCCTCGGTCTGCACCCCAGAAACTCAATTCGACGCGGAAAGCTTTGTTGAGTACATAGAAATGGACTTTACGTAAGGCTCAGGCGCTTCGCTGGCAACCGGGAACGGACATGACGCTCCGGCTGGTTCGTGAACAACGAAACGACCTTTTGATGGACCAGCTGGACGTCATCTTGTCGATTTCCAGATATGTGGCTGAAAGTACGATCAGAAAAATGAAGGATGGCAAACACCACGCAAGCAAGCTCAGTCACAGTGACGTTAGGGGTTGGTCGTGTGGCTCGCACGAAGGAGCTGACCCCTGCACATCGGCCAAAATGCCAAAAGCCTTGGGGCGCTTCATAATTGGGCGGACTGGCATTTTCCAGAGCACAAGCGTATTGCCAATACACCGAGACTCTGGTCTGGCCCTTGATGATTCCTCACTTGCAAGGTATTCAGAGAACGGGGACTGAGCATGGCCTCCTGGAGGTCAATACAGAGAAGCGGGAACGAAGAAATGCGGAGACGAGCAGGACACCGTGAAGCGGTTGAAACGAGGCTATGAAGTCATCGCATCCGCCGAGGATGAGCATCAAAATGTCTCGGCTCGAAAGGGCCGGCGCTGGCCCTACGAGAAAAGATCGGTCAGTTGATTGTGTGCTAGTACTCAGGAGGGTGTGGTCCGCGACTTGTCAAAACATGCTTGGATCGACCGCCAGCCGCTATTCCTTCTGTTGGGACCCGAAAGCCGCCTTCTCTGCAAGGTACGAACCCCGTGCCTCCAGGCTCTTGGTCTTGTGGTTGCGGTTAGGTTGCGTACGCTGTCCGTCGATCGCAGAGCCTGGACTGTCAGAGCTACCTGGCGCCAACCGATCATTTGACGATGAAGCAAACCCCAAGACTTGGTCGAGCTACGTATACAGGCGCCAGTAAACCGAACTGAGAAGGTGAAGTTCTCTCCGGACGTATGTCCGGTTGCATACCCACTTTCGACCTTGGTGTTGAACCACCACAACCCCATGGTACCCATCCCATGCACCCACACACGAGGTTGATTTACCTCCGACCTGTCAGAAGTTCAGAACCGAAGTATCTTATCGCCCCCGAGCCGCGCGGTGTGTACACCTTTCAGACACTCACCGTTCAGCCGTTTTTCTTGGGGGTTGTCATATTTCCCGCCAGTCTCGACCCTGGGCTGTATTTGAGATCATAGACCAACCATATGGCTGAACGAAGGCGTTCCGCTCAAGGGATCTCCCGCGACACGAAGTGTGAGCTTTCATCTGAAATGAGAGCAAGAAACCGGATCCTACCCTTGCGCTTGCGGGAAGACCTAACACCTTCCAGCATTGGCCACACTCTGTCTGTTCGGAAACGTGTGCCGGCCGGGGAGCTTCCATTCAAAGCGAGTGCTAGCGGGCCCATGAGCCATGGGCAATACCTAACCTGGGGCCACCAAAGAAACAACAGAAAAAGAAATTGCCCGACGAATACCTCATCGGGGTAAAACCAGGCTGGAAAACGTGGGATTGAAATTCGTACCTATGTGAGACCCCAAGCGGTGTTGAGCCACATGGGCTTTTCTAAGGCACGTACGTCACTTGTGCTCAGAATCATTTCGTTAGGGATGAGACCTATCCAGAGTTACCTACATAATGCCACCAGCCTCATCAGCGTCAAGCCCCCTCTCGACACAGAGTTCACATACAAGTCATCTATACCAGACCTCGACGAGACATTGTTGATTATCGCCAGTCTTCCCTGCATTGCTATGTATCACTGTGATATAACTTGGATCACCCCCGAACGACCCTCAGAAAACCAGCAAAAACTTGAACACGGACCACAATTCCTGCATCAACAGCGACAATCACGAGAACAAGAGGCCGTCTCCGCAGACACGAGAACGCATAGCCACCGGCCTGCGCAGCATCAGCAACAGCATAAACAACGTAATCATCAGCTCAGCTTCGTGAACTTCCTAGTCTCCAAAAGTCGCGGGCAAGAGCTGAAAGAGACCCGGTTACCGTTTGTCAGAGACTTTCTGGCATCACATCATCGGGACGGCAACAACATTGCTAGCGAACACACGAGCGGCCAGCTGAGGTTGATTTCGCTTCTCGCACCTAATCAGCAAAGCCTGTTATCGTCTCTCCCGACCGCATCGTCGGTATCACAATCTTCCCAAGTCGGCACTAACAGCGCCACGCCGACACGACCCTGCGTATCATCATCACGTCGCCCCTTTGGGTAGGAAACTCGTACCAGGGCGCCAACAACCAGCAAAAAGGACAACCCAAAGATAGCGCTATCGTCTCCGGCGGGCTGCGCTACGGAAAACAGAACAAGGCCTAGCCACAACGTGGACCAACTAGTCGCGGCGTTTCTCGCCCCTGAGCTGCATGAACCAGACGCACGCCGTGGCCGTTCTTATTCTTGTCGGAATAGCGCAACATTGAACAGGTTTATTGCACCACCGACAGCGAACCGGCCTCCACCCTGTCCCCTCCCAGCCTGGGACTGAGTGACTGACCGACCGGTGGCAGCGTCTACGACTTTTGACGCAGCCAGCACGCAACTTGTCAGTCTCTTTTCGCTCCCAGCGGTGCCTCTTCGTATTACGCTGTTGTTCCCACTCTGTTCAGCATCACATCCGGGCTGGACCGGGTCTATTAATTGGACCAGGGGCTGTGGAGAGTATCTCCCTCCACACCCATTTCCCAGACATCCATACCCCCGTCCCATCCCGTCTTACGCTATCGGCCGCCATTATTAGGTAGTCGGGCTCCCCTCATTATCGGTATCAGTATCATCACGCACAAATCAGAGGCAGAGACAGACGCACACATCACCGAGACACACTCACACACAACCCAAAGTTGTCTGTCCAGGGGTTACCTACACCTCCCCTTCCCCAAAAAGCATAACTACCAACTCCAACAAGAGGAGAGGGGAAAGTGAAAAAAAAAGTTTCCGGATCCCCTCTGTCACGGACGACGAAAAACACCGCCAACCACTTTCAAGCTAGCAAAGTTTTTAGTTGGTTGGGCTTTGACTCTGCGGCGACAAACCTGAACCGGTCTACCCAAGGCATCGTGGGTTCTCAAAAAGGCTTCCAGACCACCTCTCGGTTGTCGGCCGGCGCCATTCCACTCCCCTACGCACTTGGCAACCAAGCTCGCGCGCACATATTTTGTCTTAATTTTTTTTTTCCAATTATTCTTTTACTCCTGAATCTTGGTCTTGACTACCGAGTTCATTACCCACCCCCATTATTACCCTGTTTTTCTCTGCAACGCGGGTACTCCGTACGTTGTATATTAGCAGTGGGACTTGTATACACAACCTGAACCGGGACCTGAACATTGTCAACCACATCCCGGCTGGTGGTTAAACGCCGTGTGGCTTGCAGTTTTATTTGGCGCCATTGGACGTGCCATTTCCACGAGGGAGTCCAAGCTTTGATTGCTGTACCTGAGTCTTGCCATATCCTGGAATGCCTTATTACACGGCCACACACAGAGAGACGAGATCGGAGACCGGCGACAACGCGATTCTTACTGAGAGTCTCCAGAGTTCTCCTCTTTACGCATCGCCCACGACTCCGCTTATCACTTCCGGGTCATCCACAAGTGCCTATTAATAAAATACAACCAAGAAGACCAAAAGGCCATCATCAGCTTCGACTACCGGGGAAGCTACCTAGCTGGCTGCGTTATCCTGCATCTGTCTGCATCGAGTCTGCATCGGACGTGCACACCGCAAACTGCAAAAGGAGGAGAGAGGCACATAATAAACCACACCGTCCACTCACACGCCTATCGCAAGAGAAACAAAACAAGCACACCTTACCACACCTTACATACATATTACTTGATCTTCCTTTCCCCCCTTGCCCTCTACATTTCCCCAGAAGAGGCCCTCAATCTCTGACCAAACATCTGCCCGACAACGGCCACGCCCTCTTGTCCTGCTGCATCTACTCCTCTTTTTCACATTTATTACCGACAGCTGAGAGGGGCTTTTCGAGACCGTTTACCAGCGACCCCCGCAAGCTCCAACGCACGCCCGCCCGCCTTCTCCTCTTCTCGCACGCCAACGGGGGTTCGATTGAAAGGAGACAAAGGACGCCGGATCCACCATTGATCGACACCATCGACAGGGCAGTAGCTCCAGGAGTCGCAGAAGGCTCAAAGTACCTCATTTGGTATTAGTACTCGACACCTGCTCACTCACACTCGAACGATTTGGCCCAAAACCACGAGTCAACTACTCTTCCCGTCTCCCAGCCATAACGCCAACCTGAACCGACGCCTTTTTTCTGTTCCTTATCGAAGGCGAAAAGAAGAATCATAAACAAACCAACAGTGCCAGCACTCTATATAAGTCTTATTGAGAACCGTTGCGCTGTTCACTCGACCACATCACATTGACGACATCGGATCGACTTATCCACCTCCGTCACTACGAGAGCATCACTCATCAAGGCACGCACACACTCACGCTCAAACAAGCACCTTTCGATATCACTTCCGAACATCGTCTTCGCCTGGGTTCTTTAAAAAGCCCATATACTCGTCTTATCCACACCCTCAAACACACATATTTCCGATGGGCTCGTCAATAGCCCAAAGACACATTACTTGCACACTATCATTACCATATCCACCAACATCAAAAATGGCCGCCGCAACCACTCTATCCTCGCAGGAGCAACCCTCCAACTTTGCCCTCCAGCAATATCTAGTTCTTCAATCTCAACATGAGGAGCTCCGCCAGCACCTGGACACGATCCGCCCCATGACGACCTCCAACACCTCGCTCTCCTCATCACCGTCCGTGTCCCCGACGCGCAGCACCTGCTCGCCCTTTGGCCAGTACCCCAACGGCGGCGGCGGTAAGAGGCACCACAGCCGAAGCCGTCGCTCGTCGCTATCGAGCCCCAAGACCCGCCGCAGCAGCTCACTCGCGCCCATCGCGGACGAGACCACCATCTGGGCGGTCGCCGAGGAAGAGCAGCGCCTCTTTGACGTCAACGAGGGCATGAAGCGGGCTCTGATGGAGCTCCTCAACTGCGAGCAGGTGCGGAGCGACAGCTCGTTTCGCATGTGGGTGCAGTGCCGTCTTATGGACACGGAAAAGGAACTTCGTTCTGAGAGACGACGCAAGAGCGCGCCATGAGCTTTCCAATCAGAGGCATCTCACGCTCTCATCTTTTTGCGGATCGACACAAAAAGCGCAGCATATTTTGAGCCTTTTTGGTCCTACCTCTTTTTCAACCTACCTAATTATGCACCGGATTCTTCTTTTTCATGAGGCGTTGGATTTGACAAGGAGATTAACCATCTCGTCGAATGGCGTTGAGAGGGGATTTGTGTGGGAATTTCAACATTTTGCCGAGGACAGGCATGGCATGGATTATGGCACGACATGGGTCGTTTGCCCATGACAGAGAGGGAAAAGCTGGGTTTGCATACAGGTGAAGATGCTCTTCTCATCTCGCCTGTCGGATATTTGGTGTTTTACTGGCGAAGGCTTGTTGGAATACACCACAGCCAATCTGCCTTTTTTCACTTCTGGTTTCCTTTTTCTTTCATCGGTGGTTGCAGGAATATCACACACAAACAGCCATCTGGTCCATAGAGTTTGTAATGACTGAAACGACACCAATTACCAATTTTTACCATACCTTTCACTCCATCCTTGACATTTGATATCATGTCTGAATCGGTCTGGTTAGACTCGTGATGAATGCATAGCTTAGTGGTGCTGAGGTGGTGTTGAAGTGGTCTGAGCATGACGGGACCCGGGAGATCACCATGATGCATGCGGAGTTGGAGGTGCATGTCTAGTATAACTCACCTACCTTTGGGAGCTCCATGATGTGGAAATGATCACCATTGCTCTGCTGCGGTGCCGAAATAAGAGAATGGACGAATCCAAAAACATCAGACTTTCCCACAAAGCCTATTCGTACGCCCAATCGGCCAAGCTCCAAAAGCTCTCAAACTGCTGAAAACCGGGGCACGCAATCCGCACAAGATTCTAAACATTGTGACATTGTCCCTGCCATCCTCTAATTCGCCGATCTTCTTTACCGTGCAAATGAAGTATAGTTTGGACGCACGCACTATGTGACGAGAGAGCTGCTGCCGTTGGCGTTGCCTCGCGGACTGGCCCGCACCGCACCTACATCACTTTGACTGCAAACATCGTTTTTCAAGCTGGAAAAGAGCCAACACGCACCTCACGCACGAAGCTGCAACCCCCACCACCGAACGCCCGCCCGCCTGAGCCTAGCGGAAAGCTTCGCATTTGGGATACCTCTTGTTTTTCTTGGCGAAGAGAGACGATTCGAATCCACTGATCTTTCTGTGTTTGGTCAATCCGCTGCGCCCAGGGCAAAATCCACTTTGGAAAGCTCCGTTCAGACCAAACCTGCCTACGGCTAGACAGACGACGACAACGACGGCGACGCGATCGAGAGGAGGCTCCTACTGCCACCATGTCAGTGCTTCTGGAAACCAGCTCTGGCGATATCGTGATTGACCTGCTGGTCGATTACGCGCCAAAGCTTTGCGAAAAGTAAGTCGCGATTCACCGCCAGCGCTACAACGCTCTTGCTCAGCTAACCAAAGACCTCTAGCTTCCTGAAGCTTTGCAAAGTCAAATATTACAACTTTTCACCAGTCCACTCTGTTCAGAAGAACTTTTCCTTCCAGACCGGCGATCCTCTCGGACCCTTATCGAAACAGTCCGATGGAGGCACCTCTATTTGGGGCCTGCTGTCGGGCGACAGCTCCAAGAAGATGTTCCCGGCCTTCTTCCACCCGAAACTGAAGCATCTCGAGCGAGGCACCGTCAGCATGGCGACGGCGCCCCTGGATTCCGACCCGGATACGCGCGTGGCGGCTTCTCAGTTCATCATCACCTTGGGCGATGAGACGGACTACTTGGACGGCAAGGCCGCTGTCTTTGGCAAGGTCGTGGAGGGCTTCGACGTGTTGGAGAAGATCAACGAGGCCATCGTAGACGACAAGGGGCACCCCCTTATCGACATTCGAATCAAGCACACCATCGTTCTCGATGACCCGTACCCCGATCCCCCCGAGCTGCGAGAGCCCAGCGCCTCGCCTCCTCCGACCAAGTCACAACTCGATACTGTTCGGATCGCGGACGAGGCTGCGCTACACGAAGACGATGATCTAGATGAGGAGGCGATCGAGAAGCGGCGGAGGGACCGCGAGGCACGGGCCCAGGCTCTCACTCTGGAAATGATGGGTGACCTGCCGTTTGCCGAGGTCGCTCCCCCTGAAAACGTCCTATTCGTCTGCAAGCTCAACCCCGTCACGACGGACGCCGATCTGGAGCTCATATTTGGCCGATTCGGCAAGATTCTGAGTTGCGAGGTCATTCGTGATGCCAAGACAGGCGACAGTCTCCAGTATGCCTTTATCGAATATGCTGACAAGGCGTCCTGCGAGGCTGCCTATGCCAAGATGCAGGATGTCCTGATTGACGATCGGCGTATCCACGTGGACTTCTCGCAGAGTGTGAGCAAGCTGCAACAGGTCTGGAGAGACGATACAAACCAGAAGCGCAGAAAACACGCGTCCAGGGGTGGATTCGGAGGTGTTGACGAGCTCGAAAAGAGGCGGCAATACCGTGACGAATACGAGCGAAATGGAGATGATTACGATCTGGTGTACGGAGACGAGGAGATGAAGGGTCGCCACCAGCGCGCCAAAGACCGTCGTCCCGAGTCAGATAAGCAGCAGCAGCCTGAGCAAGACAGAGATCAACGGGAAAGAGATCGACCCAGATCGGAACAGGTGCGGAGACGCAGTCGAAGCCCCGGACGCTCAAGGGCCATGGGTAGGGACAGAAGAGGAGATGGAGATCGATACCGATCCGATGATCGCGGTTCCGGACGACGGCACGATCAATACGAACGGCGACGTGACGATAGGGATTCGGGTCGCAGAGACCGCAGAGACTGGGACAATCGGAATCGAGGTAGGGATCGAGACTCGGACAGACGAAGATAGTAACAGCAGCAGCAGCAGCAGCAGCAGCAGCAACTGCAAGACGCGCATCTCATTTTCTTCTCGTCTCCGACAATGCTCTTTCAAAACTATACCCAGCCGCCGTTAACCAGACCGCACTTTGCAGCAGTCCGGTCAGCCACAGATGTAGACCCCAAGAAATACAAAAACAATTGACACCACTATCGCCACTGCCGCCCGCGTAAGGCTCGTGTTTCATGAACAACAACAATATGTCGTTGACCTGTCGAGATGCACCGCGGCAACCTGCCTGTAAGCCACCCCTTCGCATCTCGTCGTCGACCAGGGAAGTCCGGATGTGGGGAACGAGGGAAGGGAGAGAGATTGCCCTGGCAAAGGCCGTGGGGTTTGACTTTACAACTTGATGTCGCACATGGCGAACGGCTTGCCCCAAGTAGGATTGATCTCATCGTTTCTCGCCGTTGCAAACATGGCTATCGAGCCCTGTTCCTTTTCCACACTCGCAAGGGGCCATGTAAGTAAGCGGCCGGAAGCACCGCGGAAGTGGGGACCGACACACATCCTTGGTGTTGCCGAGGGGAGCTTGCATCAGCCTGCTGCGTTTGGTGAAGCTGTCATCTGTCAGTTGTCATATCTTCAAGGTGGTTCCTGTGCTATGGGAGAAGCTGCAACGGAGCGGCATTGAGAGACGCACCATGGGCCATGGACCGCCATCTCAAATGAAGTCCGCAGCCGCCTCGTGCGAGGCCGGCATTGTGCGACAACGTCTTCGACCTGTCAGGACAATCTCCGATCACATCCTCGCATCCCTCAGAGTTCAGCTCTACAAAGAAGACCATCTAGAATCCTAGAACGAGGTTGCCTTCGGGACGAGAGCTGATGAACTTAAGTTCGCGGTAATTCGTAAAGTTGCTTCCGAACCTGACCGATTTCCTTTATCGTTCGTATTTCGTTCTGGTTCTCGTTGCCGCTGCCGCCTGCAACCTCATCGCGGCGTCTAATAGATGCGGTCTCCTGGTGTAGGGCCTCGCAAGTTCCCCCCTTCAAGGCGTCCTGTATCATCAGTTGCTAATGTCGCACAGGATCACGAGAGTGACAGCACGTCGAGTCTCGCTGCAGAGCTGCTGCATTTATTTCTGTCCGTTCTGGCCCGCTAGGCATCAACTCCCCAATCCTGTGCGACCGCGTCTCTCTTCGCCTCAGTGCGAGCGAGACATGAAGATCAAAGCTCGTCAGTTGTGCTACTCCGTGGGGCTCAATGGGCCGGTCGATGATGCTGAGGTTGAGGCGGAGGAGGCCGATTGTCTTCCCAATGCAGAATCTCGTTGCAGCCAAACCACGGAACGGCAACTTTGTTAGCACAGTACGTCGAGAAAGGGCACTTGGACAAACTGGAAAGGGCCCAAACCAACGGATCTGATATTCTCCATCGCCAATGTGTTAATTGCGGAGGCAGCCCGGCTCGGCTCGTCTCGTCTCGTCTCGTTCTCCTGCGCCTCCTTCGCCTCCTTCAGTGCCTGGCCCTGGTGGCTGCTCTCCATCGCTGACGACCTCAATCAATCTGCTCCGGACGTGGCCGGCCCCCTAGTATGGGCTGTCAGATGACATTGTGTCCCTAGAAGCCGGTCCAATCGCTTACGTCCTGTGTCCCTGTTGCAAACGGCTGCCCGCATATGGATGGGAGAGGGAAAAAGAAAAACTGGTTCTGGCTATGACTGGCAGCTCCCCCAAAAGTACAGATGCAGCGCCCCGAAGATGGCTGCAAAAAATTTCCGTTGTCAGCGAAGCCGTCGAGCCATGTGCGTTCTGCTTGCTGCCTCCCGTCCCAGAAGCAGGCACGCACAAGAAATGCCCGGTAACAGGTGAAAGGTGAAGAGAGGATCTGCATCACGACAGCCTGATCGCCGGCATGACGGCCTCACCTTGTTGGGCGAGGCTTTTGTTGCTGCATATGATATCAGTCTTGACGCTGTGCTACGCTGCCAACAACATCTCAGTCGACTCTCGATACGAACTGCTCTCCTAGAGTTTCAGCGAGGGCAGCTCGTTTCTCTTGTCTCGGAATTGCGGCGTAGGCTTTTCTATGAGAGCCAGACGAGAGTGATCCAGAGGCCTGCGCGCTTCCAGACCACCATCAACGAGGCGAGGACATGTCTCAAACACTGTGAGGGTTTCTCTGGCAATAAGCTCATGCGGAAACACAAGTACTGCCTGGATCTTGAGACTTTGCACCTCGTTGACCTTGCACGCCGTGAGATGATGGCAGGACAAGACTTTGCAGCGGCGACAAATATGTGCTTCACGATTCCAGTCCCACCAGCATGTCAAAAATCAACGGCAAGAAGAAAAAGAAGCTTCTTACACGGATCGAAAATCATCCCTGAGAAACGCATCATTACGGACGTTAGGATCACGATGGAGAATAGGATCCGTCGGCTTCAAGCATGGGCTTAGCATCCATGACAGAATCCTTTTCTCCTAGTTGCTAAAGCGCCATTGGGAACGACGACGCCACGCTGGGCGAGTTTTAGTTACTTAAACTCCTGCAGCTGGACATCTACCCCTGATTCAAATGCACGGGGATATCGGACGACGTAGTATTGCAGCCTTCTTCCTTCCTCAAACCCTCATCACCAATACCGTCAACGGTGAGGGACCGACCATCCTCCGATGCGGGGGCCTTTCGCGGCAAGCAGGCGGAGGAGAGTGCATCACGTCAAGAGAAGGCAAAGGCATGGCACACATGCCTAGCTATTCGTACAGGATTCACGTCAACGGGCATGCATCACCAGCTGGCCGCCCACGGGCGAAGCAACAACGGCAAAGCAGGTGCGGAAGGGAAAGAGAACCACACACACCGACACATTACTACGCATACACGCGCACATCCCACCATCGCTCTGTGCCTCAGCGGCCCGTTTGCTATTTCTGTTCCTTCCTTGTTTTCCTCCAACCCCCCCCCCCCTTCGCGTGCCGTGTATCGAAGCTCTTCCCGCTATCTTTATCCAAAAGCAGAGGCGCGGCCGCGGCCGGAACTGCAACGTTGTGGAGGGGGAGGGCGAGAGGGGGGCAGCCAAATCCCGGTCGCCAAGTCGCGGACGATCAGGTTGCAGCACAAGCGAGGGCGAGGGGCCGAGAAACGTGCAGGAAGGCACCTCATCTGCCACAAGGAAGAGTGCGAGGCTTGGGGAAGGGGAGACTGCTGCTGCCGCACACCGAGGCTGGCTCAAGAAATTTCCAGAGCTACTCCGTACAACGGCGCAACAGCAACAGATGGTCTTGTTTGGCAGCTCCCCCCATCCCAATTCGGAGCCAGGTGTGCGCCCCCTTCGCCCCTCCTGGGCCTATCGAGGCAACCTTGGGCGGCCGTCTTTGGCGGCCATATTCATGCATCTCGTTTGCCCATGTAAGAGTACTTTGCAGTGGAAGCAAGGCAAACACCGTGACCGCCGCCAGCTATTTTGGAGGGGGCATCTCCTGTGAATCCTCCTCCGGCCGTATCTCTTCGCCGGCTGAGCTGTCGGTTTGCCTGATAGAAATTCTTCGCGGAACCTCCCGGTACCGGGCTGGCAAATCATGGCTCAAGTTTGTTGCTTGTAAATGATGTATGCAGATGACGGGCTTTGCAGCATTGGCCCCCATGAGTCCATTTCTCCAAGATGCTCATTTCTTACAGGATTCTCCATCTCGACCGGCCAGGGAGATGTTTGGCGAACGAAACCGCTGCACGCACCATGCAGCATGAAGCATGCAGCAGCAACACCGTTGATTTTCCTGCTTTTCTTGCTTTTTTTTTCTCTTCTTCTTGCTTTCGGTTCGGCCTTTGAGTCTTTCTTGGCCCCCTCCCCTTGAATATTTTTTCTTCTTCTTCTTCAGCGAGTTGGCGGTGTCACACTTTGACCGGGCGCCAAGTGGTAGCAGCCCAGTAGGTCTAGTACTGCTTGATGGTTCGTGCCGGGGGTTGACGTCGCTGTTGGTTTCTGGCTGGAGAGATCTTCGGCCAGTTCTCTGTCCTTTCTGTATTTGGCTTTCTCGGTTCTATCATCCTGAACTGTGTGTGTGTGTGTGTGTGTGTGCGTGTGTGTTGCAGCAAAGGCCGCTTCCGCAGTGTGACACAGGGGACAGCGACACCCACCACAAGCGTATTCACTGTCGATGGCTTGCGTCACGTAACCTTCAGCTTTGTGCATTTTTGTCTCTCGCTCTCTTCCTATCACTTATGTACATGAACCGGGGGAAAAGTGTGACTTGCCCTGATACAACCCAATCTCTCGCTGATGATGGCTCTGCTCTTCTCCATCCATTAGTTATCGTGGTAGGGTCACACGATCAAGCGTCCATGGTTTGAACCCTCCAAGTGGGACCGAGATGGCCGTTTTGCCCGACGAAAGGTCGAGCCAAAAAAAAAGTGTTTGTCGTGTCGGTTTCTTCGGTGTCATTTTGGAAAAGATACCATTCCCATTTCAGAAGCCTTTTTGCCCAAAGCAGATGCTACTTCTGTGCTTCCTCCTTTCCCGTATCCCATTATTGTTTCTGTTGACGACTAGTGAAGTCTGGAATCTTTGGAAGACAGAACGGTTGTTGTGGGGAAACGAACAGCCTGGCTGCTGTTCCCATGATACACGTACCTCGTCATCGTGGGAGGATCATCCGTCCAATACATGTTGTCTTTTCCGTTGGACGCACTTGCACCGAGCGTTTATACAAGTCTCGGTTACCATACGACAACTCGGCAGTTTTCTTCAGCAATGGAAATTGCGCGCGTGGGGGGTACGTTGAGGAATTGAGTGTTCTCACGGGGTTGGGACACCTGCCTCCTCCCATCACCTTTAAAATTGTTGTCTCGATCCCCAGCAATAGGCCCAGGATGGGAACTCTCCTTACGCGATGGTGGCGATAACATAGGAACAGCAGTCTCGCTTCCCCAAAGCAAGACGAATATCAAACGTCAGTCTGATTGGATGTGCAGGGGTTTCCAAGTCATCTTTACGGCTGAGAAGAAGATGATGCAGTCTCAAAAGGTCTAAGACCGTTCTTCTCACACTGTCATTTCCTCTTCTCTCAAGTTGCCAATGAGCTGTGCTGCAAATGGGACGAGGTCCTTCGGGCCTAGCTTGGCCTAGCCCCCTAGAACCCCAGACCCTTTTTTCTCCTCATTAAGAGTTCCAAGATACACCCAAGATGAGATCGACTTTCCCTCCCGGCTGGCCCTACAAGATCTTCCAACGCAGGACTGGCCCCCCCCCCCCTGCTCAATTAACCTGTCCGCCCCTCGTCCTCCTACCTCTCCGCCGTCGCCGCCCCTCTTCCGTTTGCTCTCCACGTTCCGTCCCTCCAGCCCCAAAGTACCTCCCTCCCCCCCCCCCCCCCCCCCCCCCCTTCGGGACAATAACGGGGGGCGGAGGGGGGGGGGGGGTGTGTGATATTGAGATCCCTTTCTTTCTTCCTTCCTCCCCGTGTTTCTACGTTCTCCTCCCCACCCGACCCCCCCCCCCCGAATCTGCGTTATGGAAGAAGAACTGGAGACAGGAGTGGAGGGGTGTTGATTGTATGTAGACGCTCTCTCTTTCTCTCTACCTCGCTGGGTGTATCCATTCCCCCACCCACCCCAGTAGGCCATGCTTGTTTGTCACTGACTACCAGAGCCGAAGTGAGGTCTCCTTCTCCCCCGTTCTAATGTACGTCTTTCTGTGGCTTCCCGCGCCGTCGGTGCTACTGCAGCACCACATGAGTCTCTTTTTTTCACTCTCATCTGTTTATGTAGGTAAATCAACACTACATCTGCTTCTCTGTTGCTTCGGTCTAGTTCAAGGGACCCCCCAAAAAAAAACATGCTGTAGCAGCCTTGTCTTCCTTCGCCCGTCCGATGACAGATGTCGTGTCTGTGTGGTCCGCAAGCTTCCATGGGGGAGAATGAGAAGAGAGGGGAAAGGTATACGCGCCAATGTAAAAGGAGTGAGAGGTGAGAGGGGGGGGCGTGTATGGAACAAATGACCTGATTTTCATATCCATGGGAAATCAACTCTGTGTAAAGAGAATATTCAAGATGTGGAAAATGCCTCTGATGGATGTATTCTGGACAGACAGTCGGAGGGTGTGGATACGTTTGAAGGCATGGTGCAAACACAGGAACAACCAAGCTATCTCTCCTGCGTTGCCGAATCAAAAGATGCGTTCTCCAAGACCAGGATGCGTATAACACTCGCTGGCTGCAGCTGCTTCACGCCTGTTTTCTCTTCGGTGTTGTTTTATTTATCTTTTCTTTTTTAATCCGGGGGTTTTTTATCAATCTTTTCTCCCCATCTTCCCTCATAAGCTGGCCTGGCTCATGTCATTGCCTCTTCTCATTGACTTATTTTGTTTTTTCCGGACTTCCATGTGGAACACTGAATAAGTCTCGAACCTTTTTTCGCCCTGACAGATCTCTACACCTGGGGGAGGCATTCCATCAGCGGACTTGTCTCAACACTTTCCTCTTTCTTCAAGAAAGTAACGTCTCACAAAGAGGCGTGAGGAGAAAACAAGAACAAGATCTACCCTC